AACGCCTCCAGTAACGCGTCCTCCGCGTCCACTACTAACAACGCGTCCGCGTTGTTCGCGTTGCTGTTGCTGAGCGGCTGCTGCTGCTTGTTCTTGTTCCTCCTCCTCACGTACTTCACGTGCAATTGTAAACAAGTTTGGGGGGGGGGAAGTGCTTGCTGCATTCTTCTTGTTCTTGCTCCTCCACCCCCACGTCCTCCACCACGTCCTCCGCGTCCTCCGAGTCCGCGTCCGCGTCCGCGTCCTCCACCAGTTGCTGGGGGTGCTGGGGGTGTCATTGTTAGCAGTTTCTTTATTGCTTTGCTTTATTGCTTTGCTTTGCTTTGCTGCTTTGCTTTCTTGCAGTCGAAGTTTTTGTGTGAAGGACCCACCACATCATGGCACAGTACACGTGGTTGTATTATTGCACACTCTACATACGTTTTAAGGGGAATCAACGGTCGAAAATGCAACAAAAAACGCTGGTGAATCCTACCAGTAAGAAAAAAAGCAATACTGTTTTTGTTAGTAAATTTACACACAAATTATTGTATACTGTCTCAAAAACAGAGATATTGGTCTCCGTACATACGAATATATGGGGTAGGGCTATTCAGTATTGTTTTTGGGTTGCATCGAGGCAATTACGATAATGCAATTTTAGTTGCAAAATACACATACTGTACTGGTACAATACTCGTAGGAACTCGCACTATCAGAACGTACGGATGTTTTAATCCAGCTGTTCACGTTGGTTTCAAAATTTTGGACTGGTTTGAATTGACTTCAGAATTCAATTACTTCCAACGTCCCAAAATGATTGTCACCTAACACATTTAATGTTGAAATAAGCTCAATACTTGAGCAATTTGAATGGTTCTTTTTTACTTTATTCATCTTGTTTAATGCAATTGAATATGTTATGCCAACAATTATTATTCTTCTACTAGCAAGATTGAAATAAGCCTTCAAATGGAGCTCTTAAAACATCTCCTCATTTTGAACTTGTGTGTTGAAAGGGGGTTCCAACAAGGCTCATTTTGACATGCTGCTACTTGCACGACATGTTAGTGTAGATATAGTTTTTTAATAACAAGGAAGACTACCACAATATAAATCTCTCAAAGGATGCTGAGACCTTGGCAGAGGCCCAGTACCAGTCAAAAACTGTCAAGTTCTGCATGAGTTGCCTCTTTATGGTGTTCAACAAAGAGGGGATTGAGTATTCACTCTATGATGATTCCAACCATCCAGTTGGGTTCCAATCCTACTGGAAAAGGATCTTCAAAATTACAAGTGAGGGGTATCACCTAAATTCTTTGGGAAGTGCCCATGCAAGGCAAAGCTTGACCCTGACTGCAGGTTCTCCAAGCAGTGGAAGGCTGTGCTTCTTGATACAATGTGCACAGCCCATGGAATGGAACCACCAACATCCATTACCTTGTCCTTTTTGGTGGATTCCTCTCTTGCACCAGTCTTGTTCCAACATTCTTTCTGTGATCACTTGAAGGATTCCCCCAAGGTCTCTGTTGCTTCTGACATTGCTGCTGGACATTTGAGTATAAGCACCCTAGAAATTGAAGTTCTCTAAGGTGATCTCAAGCCCCCCCCCCCCCCCGACGAACCTACAAATATATCTGTTCCTACTCCCCCCCCCCCAAACCAACTACCTCTATCCCTATGCCTTTTACTGATCACACCGATCAAGTGCAGGAACACAGTCAAGGTGATTATCACAATGAACCCCCAATCATCGTTGGCATGAGGATTTTGATGGTTCTTGTTCCCCCAACCGGTACTCCCATCATAACTACCCTCCTCCTCGTTCTCCTTGGCGTCAGCAGTACCATCAATCTCTGCCTATCCTTCCTCCTTCATCTGCTTGAAATCGATACGAGCGTCACAATAAATACCCAGCGTGCACCCTCTTTGTCCTACTATGGGGAAGAGGATCGTTGATCTCATTGCAGGGTGTCTTTTGGAGAAGATCCCTACTATGATCCCCCGCGCCAAGCTCCTCCTCACCCTCCTCACCGTGACCATCGTTCTGTACACTTTGGTGATAATAGCTACCGTTGCTATGATCAGCAACAGAAGGATTGTACCTGGCATCCATTGCACTTGAAATCCCGTTCTGGCACTGGTATTGCTACAAGAATTTCTGGGCGACATGCACATGATCGTAGGTCATTGTTTGAGACCCACGATCCTCATGTTGAAATCACTGAAGTGTGGTTCATTGCGAAGAGCACAAGTTCCACTAACCCCTCCTAACAAAGCTATCGTGGGGGGGGGGGGGGGCGTTTTCTGGCAAGAAAGAGGTCTGCAAACTACTTAAGACAAAGCACTAGTAACAAACTGCATCGTTTTGATTACTTTTATTATCGTCTCAGGTTTTGTGAACAACGAAAGCTTTGCCTGTTGCTTTTTGTGTAGCCCTTAATGCACCCAAAGTTCCTACGGTGGTTCCATCCCGGGCAGCAGATACTTGTCCTGAGGCCATGCGAGCCTCTGCTTGTTCACGAGCAATCTGTTTGAGGCGCTTCTCCTCCTTCTTCTTCCCACCCCCGTGCCCATGGAATTGATAACATAGATCACGGTACGCCTCCTTCTGAGTAAGCAACCTGCCATGTTTGTCACGGTATTCGAGTTTGATTTCTCGCCGGGCCAGTTCCCTATCCTTCTCGGTTGCATTTTTCCCGATTTTGACCTCTTTCGATAGATCCAGGGGTTCATAGTTGTCGTAATTTCTTTCATCTTTTGCCCTTCCTCGTAGCTCCTCTTTTCCACCGTGTTTGCCGGTGATCTCGCCGGTTGTCTTCAAATGGGAAACAAAACTCGAAAGACCACGCCCCACCCCAACAAACCGCGCAGTCGAACCTTCGAATTCGGATGGAACGTTGTCCTCTTTCATTTCTTTCGCGAGTTCCTCCATGTCAACGTCTTCCATCTCTTCGTCGTTCTCGACATCTTCCTCTTTGACACCCTTGCCGGCTAGTTTGTCGCTAGCTTCTTGCATCGAATTTCCAGCATTCTTGTTTACGATTACACCAGCGTTCAGTTTGGTTTCTTCCTTTGTCTTCTCCGATTGTCTTTCTTTCTGCTGGGTGCGAGCTCGAATTGCTCTTGAAAACTCACGGGTGTCGTCAATGGAAAAAGTGACACCGGAGGATTCTTTCGTGTTGTTATTGTCCACGGTCGACGACTTCACGGCTTCTGCAACAGCGGTTGCTCCGCTCGATACTGCCTTGTTCATTTCTCTTAGGCGGTTCAACCGTCTGGCTTTTTCCAAAGCGGCATTTAGGAACGAATCATCGGGCTCCTCGTCCATCACCTCGACGTCGTGTCTCCGTTTCTTCACCTCGGCATTGTTAAAGGCGTTGCGGGTCCGCTCGTTTCCTTTTTCCATAGCTTTCTCGTACTTTGATCTTTTTGACTGCGAGTCTCGTGATTTGTCGTCTGTAGAATTTTCTGTGGTGGAATTCGTGAAAGGTTGCATCTCGTTGTCGTCTACCTCATCGTCACTCCTACGACGTTTTTGTAGACTCGTCGATCCACCGTTCAAACCTGCGGTTTCTTCCAGTTTTGATAGCAAGTTTCCATTAGAATTGTTGGCAAGCGGCGGCAGAGCAGCTTTCCCATCATCTTCGTCGTCGTCGTCGTAAATGTCGGCTCTCCTTCGTTTTTTCTTGCTCTTTTTCTTCTTTTTGAACGTTGCCTTTTCCTTTGATTTTTTTCGTTTTGCTTTGAGTTCCTGCTCCTCCTCTATTGTCATGTAATCACTGGTAACGGTATCTCCTTTCCATACCAAAGATATTGCCTCTCCCTTTTGAACTCTATCAAAGTCCGTCTTGGAATCGTCAGATGCGGCTGTTCTCTGGGATCCTATCCGGAAACCCTGTGTTTTATGTCCGTTTTGCTCACCGCTGCCGCCCCGTTCTCGGTGCGATGGCCCAAGGGTTCCTCCAAGCTCTTCGAACTCATCGTCATCAAACCCGGCATACCCACCCGCTCGACCCATGCCCATTTCCAGCATTCTCTTTTTGCGGAGGCCGTCTCGTTGTTTTTCTTGTTCGGTAAGACCAATGTTTTCGAGAGCGTCTTCCTCGTCGTTGATCCCAACGACCTTGCTCGACACGTCCGTTTTTGTTTCGAGTATCGGCGCATCTGCCAGGGTGAGCACGGCGTTTTCTCCCGCCTCCAAGCCCGCCATGCTGTTTCTCACTTGCATTCCCTCCAGATCGTTCTCGTCGTAGCTGCTCCTCTGTTCGGTCGGCTTTTCTTTCCGTTTTTTCTTCTTTTTCGTTTCTGCGGGTGCCTTTTTCTGGTGCCTCATCCTGACGGCCCAGTCGTTGTCGTCGTTGTCGCCAAGTCCCAGGGTCGACGTTCCAAATGTTCGTGAAGCACCATCTTCCACCTGGCGCCGGAGCTTGGCTCGTTCGATCCGCTGCAGGGCTTCTTCCTGCTCGCCCGTGTTTTCCGCCGGCTTGTGGACCTCCTTGTTCTTGTTCTTTTCGGCACCGGTACGGAGGGGCGCGAGCCCGAGTTTTTCCCGCAGTTTGTTTGTCTCCTCTACGGACAGTTCCAGCGCTTCTTCTTCGTCGGCTTTGCCACCATCGTTTGGCAACGAATCCGTCGCTGTCTCCGCAGCGGGGGCTTGGTGGTTGTCGATGCGCAGGGGCTTCAATCCGAGCTCCTCTCGCAGTTTATTGGTCTCCTCGACCGAGAGCTCGATCACCTCTTCGGACGGCATTTTGGATTCTTGTGGTTTTCTCCCGGAATCTTATTTCGAGCCGAAGCGATGTTTGGCGTGTTGTCTTCAACCTCTGGATTTTGCAGCGTGCAACGAACAACTTCGAGTGATGGTATTATGTATTACTGTATTTATTGTGAGGAATGCTCCACCCCAAGCTGAAAGTTGTGCTCGTGTTTGGGGAGCGGTAATAGTAGGGTTTGTACGGTACGGTAAGGTAAGTACTTACAGGGCCCAGGTATGATTTCTACGATGGGTGGATTCTGAACACCCAGACCCCAGACGTTTGCCGTTCGAATACGAATTGTACGTTTGTACGGTAGGTTACGAGTACAGCTCGTGCCTCGAACAAGCCAATTCATCAGCGCCGTACCGTACGGTACGCTCATCTTCGAAACCGTAATTAGTAATAGTACTACTAGTACTACAACTAGTAACAGTAGATGTTGTTGTTGTTGTTGTGGAACTCCTCTGATAAAAAGGACAGCAATAGTCAATGACGCACTTGATTGGTATGAAACAAGCGCATCAGTCAAACTGCCCAAGTTTTCAGTTTGTTTCACTAGTACTACTAGTAGTAAAGATACAGCCTGGAAATCTACAGGATAGAAGAGGAAGCAACAAGTAGCTATTTCTTCTTACTCATAATATATTATAATCTGTACAAAATCTGAAATCAGGTGGAAAAATAGATGTTCTCAATCCTCCCAAATTATTCTGGACAGTTCCCGTGGAATGATCAATCTAAGTGAAACTTCTTGTCTGTGATGGCATAGTCCTTCAATAATTGGCAGGGTTCAAACTGAGGTCCGTATTTGTCGGCGAATTCATTCATCATGTCAACATACCCCGAAACGCCAACTTGATCCAAGTACCGGAAGGGTCCACCACGGAATGGAGCAAACCCTGTGCCAAACACCAGACCAATATCGCCCACTACCGGGTTTTCGATGATTTCGTCCTCCAGGCATTTTGCGGCTTCGTTCACAAACCTCGAGATTATTCTGTTCTGGATTTCGCTTTCATCAAGGTTCAAATCCTGCGTGACAAACTCGTCCAAATATGCCTTCACTTCTGGACTTACAGTCTTTCCTTTCTTCTTTTTGTCGTACGTGTAAAAGCCTTGCCCCGATTTTCTGCCAAGCCATCCCTTCCCGATCATGTTCTTCATGAGATCAATGTTTCCACCATCCATGCGAACGCCCAAATCTGCATTGGACAGGAAGCTAGCCACGTGGGACGTGACATCAATGCCGACCTCGTCGGCTAGTGTCACTGGACCGACTGGCATGCCAAAATTTTTCACAGATTTGTCTAGCTTATCCAGAGAAACACCGTCGCACACCAAAGCGCTGACCTCCACAAGAAATGGCCCTAGGCAACGATTTACATAAAATCCAGGGACGTCCTTGACAGCGATGCAGGTCTTGCCTTGTTTTGTTCCGACATCAAACGCCGTAGCCTTGGTTGTTTCGCTTGTTCCTTCGTGTGGGATTATTTCCAACAGAGGCATGGATGGCACCGGTGAAAAATAATGCATGCCGATAATATTTTCGGGACGTTTCGAGCCTTCGGCAATTGCACCGATGGGAATTGCTGAGGTATTGGTTGCAAACACACAATGGTCTGGCGCCAATCGTTCTACGTCGGCGACTATTTTCTTTTTAAGGTCCAGGTCTTCAAACACGGCTTCGATTACCATATCCACTTTCCCGAAATGTTTCTCCAAATTGGAGCTATTGTCGGTCAAACCAACCACGTTGGAGGTATTCAGGTTGTGTTGGAATTTCGACATGCGCCTGCGCTTCAATTTTTTGTCCCAATTACCTCTCATGTAGGACTCGCCGCGTTCGATGGCCGCGTCGTCGCGGTCCTTGAGCAATACCGACATGCCCTTTTCGGCAGTGATTTGCGCAATGCCCGCCCCCATGAGACCGGCACCCATGACCGTTACCGTGTCTACAGGAGCTGCGGCACTGCTTTGGAAAGGATTCTTCTTCATCTGGGTCATTCCATCAAAGATTCCAATGAGAGCTTCCGATTCCTTCGTTGCCGCAAGCTTCGCAAACTCTTTGCGCTCGTTCTCGAACTTTGTGGCTGGGTTGGATATACCATGCTGTACGCATCGAATTATAGCATTCGGTGCGGGGTATTTTCCATTCGTGTTTTTCTGCACCATTTTATCGATTTGGCTCCAGATGATTTTTCGTCCAATTGATGTATCCTCCAAGAGCCGGTTCATCCAGGATTTTGGTTTTCTCTTGGGTTTGATCTTTCCACTGACAATGTCGACTGCGCTTTGGATAGCGTCTTTTTCGACAGACTGTGGAGCAACGACCAAATCCACGAGCCCCATCTTCTTGGCTTTGTCTGGGCGGATGTCCTTGCCCGTCAGCATCATGTCCATTGCGTTTTGAAGCCCGACAAGCTCGTGGAGATTTTGGGTTCCACCAAACCCGGGGAGCAGTCCAAGCTTGACTTCTGGCAAGCCAAGCTTTGAATTGCGTAGTATGATGCAGAGGGTAGGACGACGCGAGAAAGCAAAATTCGAACGAGACAGTCGTGTCAGCAGGTGAATCGTTCGGGATGCATTGCGTTATATAAGTGAAAATCCGGATTAGCAGTGTTTCCGACACATCATTCTCACCTTTGTTTTAGAGGAATTTGAACAGACACGATAGTCGCACCACATGGCCCATTCCAGTCCTCCGCCCAGAGCGGGCCCGTCGATAGCCGCAACTAATGGGACTTTCTTCGTTCGCATGTGTTTGAAGAAATTCATTCCTTCTTCGATCAAATCCACGAGGTCTTCCTTGTTTTCTACTTGTTTGATATCAAAAATGTCCGCACCGGCAATGAACATATCTGGTTTGGCAGACGAAAAAACGACGGCCTTGACGCCAGAATTGTGTTCAATTTCGTTTGCCCACAACTGTTTGGCCTCCTCCGAAAGCGCAAAGCTAATCGAGTTGACCTTCTTTGGACAATCGAATCGGATCACAGCTATACCTTCTGGAGTGAACTCGACGTTGGCGAAGAACTCGTATTTTCGGTCGGGCGTTGGGACAAATTTTGGGGCTCGGGTTTCGTTCGCATGGTTGGTGGTGAGAGGTGCAGCTGCGGTGGTGCTTTCTTCCATATCCACTGAAGCAGCAGAAGATTGGAATCGAACGGAATGAAATGCATTCGTCGAAGGAAACGCCCTGGCGACCGTTGTCGTCGACATGTTTCGCGTAGACGCCGGGGGCATCCATGAAACGACAGCCTTTCGCGACTCTCGGACCAGGGTCGACGACACCATTCGGCTGGTGGCAATTTTTCGTAGCATCGTGATCTAGAGGTGGATAGCAGTGGATAGCGGTGGATCTTTCGTGGGTAGGTCGATAAAAAATATTCTTCAGCTTGTTTGTTGTCAATGGTTGTTCTGAATTCAGGTGATTGATTTTGTGGCACGAAGAATGACCTCGGCAGCATCGAAAATCAGAACTTCGTTGGCATCAACAATCAACACGAGAAGTCCAAATGCAATTATGAGAGCAAGTGGTTCTACCGGTACAATCGAAAGAAGGGAGGAGTGATCGGTGATGGAAACAGTTCGGTCGTGACACCACCTGATCGTGACGCGCTTCACCGATTTGGAACAAGAGCGATTGATCCATTCGTGACTTAAGATTTGAAGAGGTATGTTACGAAGTACGAGTACGTATGTCACATACTACTAGTACGTACGCTATTCTGCTAATCGTACGTCGTGCCGTAGTAGAAACTAGAAACCTCCGGTAGAAGCCAGGGGTCAAGTACAAGCAGTAGATTTGAAGAACAAGCATGCCGTCTGCCGTCACTGAACACTGACCCAGTCGGTTCAAAGAATACAACTGTACTGTAATAGTAAATAATAACTGATATTCTTTTTCTGTTCGGATAATAACGTCACTAAACTGCAGAGTTCCCATTGATCAACGAACTGTAGTCGCTGCCCAGGTAGGCTGTCACTGTTTTCAGACGACCGTTCAGATAATGTTCCTCCAATTTCAAGTTTCCGCGATAGCCCGATGCTAGTGCACACGATCCGAGAGAGTTTTTGCTCGTGTTCCTGGGCAGATCCAGCATGACCACACGTGAGCGCACCGCTTCTGCGGCCAACTTGATCAACTCCTTGCCATTTACAAATTCTCCCTCGGTTTTCTTATTGAAATTCTTCTTTCTCGACCTCTTCGAACCTTGGTTGTGCTTCGGTGCGGCAAATGTGTCGAAAAAATCATCAGAAACACCACAGTCCTCCTCCTCGGGTTCTTCGTTCTTCTCTTCGTCGCACCAATTCACTTGGATCTTCATGTTTCGCTCGAGATCGTATCCGTTTTTGCCAAGAATTTCATAGTCGATGCCACCCCAAGGCGGATCAAAAAATGCGAGATCGATGTGCCGGGGGAGCATATCCAATCCACCGATGGGATATCCAGCAAAAAGTCTTCCCTGAACGGGTGGCGGCATGTATTGCGGCATGTTGGATTGGGGTCGGTCGAGAATGAATTCTCCATCCTTGTAGCAGTATTTTAAGATAAATATCGAGTTGCAGTGAACAAAGATAAGCTTATCCTTGGGAATGCCGTACAGAGAAGCGTTATGGGCAGCCTTGAGCAGTTTCGAATAATCTGTATCCACACAGACTACTTTAGAAACAATATGGGATGGAATTTTCCCGAAGGCAATAGAATTTCCTCCACACCCGCAAAAACCATCAAGAATAACAACGCCCTTCCCGGGACTTTCTCGCTCCCGAAAAGCAGGGGAACTATTGACAAGATTGGAAACCCTTTCTGCCACGTGATCGGCGATGATTTCTGGAGTGACCGAATACCAGCCTTCTGCATCAAGCTGAATGCCAAAATCGAATCGCGAAAAGAGTCGTCTGTTGTACATCGTTGGAGAAAGCATACAAAAAAACACATAGTTCGACAACAAAACCAATAGTAAGGAAACTATCTGGAACGCCACAAGCTTCACCAATAAAGCAATTGTTGCTTTCTACTTACCGGCGTTGAGCCCAGTACTTGTCATGTACAATGTTTGGGTCGTGCGGATTCGGAGTACTGGTATCAATCACATCGCAATGCAATTTTCCTCCGGCTTGAATGGGAAATTGAATGGATTCGACGTGGTGCGGCACTCGTACCGTCGCCACCGACATCGGTTTTGGTTCGTCTTGTTTCTCGAGGCCCATACCGGGAGGAGGCGAGAAACCGTTTACAAAACAAGGTCCGGTTTTTTCACCAGGGACAAAGCTATATGGTACGACACGGGCGTGAGATTGCTGGGTTTGTGGGTGATAGCATTCATCAGGTTGAAAATGAGCGGCCGAGTCCCACAAATCGCAACGATTTACAATGACGGTCATCGCGGCTGGATTCTTCTTCGCTTTGCTGTTGTAACATTGCCCACGAACCGGGGATCTTGATTTGTTGTGTCTCATTGGAGACCTAGATTTGCCATTTTGCTTCCTACCATTGCTGTGTCTCATCGGAGACCTGGATTTGTTGTTTTGTCTCCTCGGAGATCTCGAGTTGTTGTTTTGTCTCTTGGGAGATACAGACTTCTGAGACTGGGAAAATCCACTTCGGCCTCTTCCTACCGTGCCTGCATCAGCACCGCGATATTCCTTTTCAAGTTCCTCTTGCTTGGTCATCTTACTGTATTCCAAGCTGCAGCTGGAACTTCCTCTATTGTAAATGATTGTGAAACTCTGCGTGTGGTACCATACATAACTGAGGCTCATGAAATTTTCAACGCAAGGAAAGCGAGAGCACTACCGTACGGTACGATACGGTACGTACGGTACGAGAAATCAGAATCCGAATGTGTTCACAAGGTAGCAGCGTACAGTGGAGCTGAAAATGCTCTACCAGTACGGACGGAATGGTACGCTACTCGTACAGCAGTTAGTGGTACCGTACTACGTACTCGTAGTGTTACTCCCACTAAATCGGTCATTCGCAAGCATCGGAGATAACAGATAACGGTACGTACGAGTAATTGTATTGTACGTACAAGAGTAATTTTGTTCTACGGCGACTTATTTTATTACAGCACTTCCAAACAAGAACGATAACGGGTCTTTGAAATATTTTCTACATACAGTAAGATGGTGTTCTCTGTAGTTACGACAATTCAGGTACCGAGCGTACGTGGTTCACAGTAAAGAGTGAGGTTATTCTCTATTTACTCGGGACTGAATAATCTATGTACGTAATATGTACCGTACGAAGTACCAGGTACTAATACGTAGCAGGTACGTACGTTCTGTACCTGTTAGCGGTAGGTGCGAGGACCGAGAACGAGCTAAAAGGACTGTGAGGATATTTCGCGCGACCGCGCACAATATTTTTTTCATTTGCAATCATTCCTTGTTTTCGACCATTAAAAAATAAGAAGTCATTCACAAACGCGATTGAATTATGTAAGGGGTACAACATGATACTTCGTGGTCTCAAAAAAGTGGATGACAAGAAGGCGAGAAGTGAGAGTACATAGAAGCTTACGAGCGTCCGGTATGCATAGTCGATTCCATTTTCTGCATTGAAAGGCATCAAAATTTAGATTTGCCCGAAGGAACAACGTGTGTTCTCATTAGAACCAGAACTAGTCATCGATCATAATGGGGAAAAAGATATCGAAAGGCAGCAGTGGTGGAAAAAAAGGTGGAGATTCGGATGTATGCTGGTCTTCCAATCACCATGCCCTGCGTAAAGCCAAGCAACAGCGAAAAATGCGAGTGTCCGACGAAAAAAGGGAGGAGCGAGAAAGGCGGACAGCAGTTCTTACACGTGGTTCGAAACAAAAGCGTGAAGAGGGGAAAAATCGATTGCACATGAAACATACTCAGCGGAAACTCGATAAGCTGAAAGAGAGACTTGAAAAGTGGGATGACATAGAGGAAGCGTTGTTACTGAAAAAGGAAGAAGAGGAGAGACGACAGAAAGAAAAGGAGGAACTTGATCCTCCAAAAAAGAAGGGAAGGAAGGGACCAGAAAGTTGGAAACTGAAGGGTGCTGCGAGACCAGCTCACTTGGTTTACGATTTTGATACGAGATACGTCGATCCCCACATGAAAGCTCACGAAGAAGCCAAGAAAAAAGCATCTAGATGCCGAAATATCTTTGTTCTCTGCAAAGGTAGATTTGGTATTGAAAACGACAAGGATGTGCCACAACCTCACTGTCGGGAATATTTATCCTTATTGATGCAGCTCGGAAATCTGTCGATGCACTCGAAACAATTGAAAACCGCAAGAAAAAGTTTTCTAGAATGCATGGAACTAGATTCGTCGGAAAGTCCCATCACACCCGCCAGGTGCCAGCTGATGAGGTTGTACATGGAAGCAAATAGACCCGATTCGGCAAGACGTCTATGGGAAAAGCTTTCACCCACCGATCCATCTGTTTGGATTCGGTATTCTGCGGTGCTGATTGAATATGTAAGCTTCAATCTACTCGAAGAAGAAGGGAGTAGCGAACAAAATTGTATAGATAGGATGGTAGAAGCGATCAAGTCCAATATATTTTGTGCGTATTATATTGCTTTCTTTGATGATTTCTACCAAGTAATGGAATACGTTGACGAGATCGAGGATGCCCACGAAAGCTCTCCGTTAGAGGAGGCAATAGAATACTGTAATAGCGAGCAACTAGGCGCATGGAAAGGGACAGAGGGGGCAATGGAATGGGCAAAACGCTTCTTGCTTCGTCTCGTGAACGACGAGTCTACTCACGGAAGGTATGGTATATCTGCATCCGACTTGGACTGGCGAAAAGCGATATCAGACACACGAGAGATGCATCCATCGTCGTCTTCTGTTGATAGCGACGACGAATCTGTCGTGGATGTTGAAATGTATTCAAATATGTTTGAGACGGCTATGGAAATGCTCGAAGATTCTGGCGCTCTGAAAAGTAAAATATGACTGTTGCGGTCCAGTAAAAATAAAACTTAAAGATTGAAAACTTCATTTTTATTCTTCGTCGGATGGTATTGGATTTCCAAGGACTAGATCCAATAGTGGATTTGACAGGATATTATCAGGATCGTAGATTCCTCTCAGAGTATTGAATTCGGCTAAAGGGAATCGTTCCAAGTAGAGTGACTTCAGTTCCACCGCTTTCCAAACAGAGAGTGGCTTTTCTAGCTTTGACCAGTGGCTTACCGACTTCAGAGGGCGCCCGATTTGACGAACAAGATCTGTGTACTTTGTGTTGAATAAGTGGGTAATATCCCTTCGCTGCTTTAGGTCCTCTGATGGGAGATAATTGATAATACCTACCCACGTATGCAAACTTTCTTCACTTCCAGAGGCTGGTGACATTGGCGAGGACGAACCAGAAGTCCAGCGTTGTTCGATTGGTGAATGCGCAGGAATATCGTTCTCCTCGATTTTTCTGAGCAACTCTTCCATGAATATCATGTCATTGTTGTTGTTCTCGTCTTGTGTACCTGTTGAAAAGCAAACTTCGTAAACCCATTGCTGTTTGATTCATTTCAGAAATTAGAAAAAGTCAAAACACACATTTTGAGTTTTTTTCTTCCACTCTGCCGACCACATTGACGAGTTGCACATATATTTACCTGACCACCGCAGTCGAACTGGAGTAACTCATCACTTGGTTTTATTTGGTACCCTTCGTTTTGCTTCCAAAATTCGGCTTCTGCCTTGTTACATCGTTTCACGTGTGCGACATCCAAGGGCGCGAAAGCCAGTAGAGAATCTGTTCCAATGAAAATGAATAAATAGATAAGTATGAGAAGTCCAAATTCCAGACATTATTCTAGAATAGTATCGCATCCTACCTCGAAGTTCTCCAAACCCCATTCCTTTTACATCATCTTCTGGAAAATTTCTACCGCTTTCCACGTACAACTGTTGCAATAGATCTCTAAGAGGGTTTCCTTTCTCCTTGTCTGAGGCAGACATATCAGGATGCGCACTGTGTTCTGCTGGATCAAATTCATCGTTGGTGACCACGATTACAGCGTCGGTATAAGGAATCCACATGAATCTGGTGTGTTTGTGATTCTCCAATAGTTCCGCCTTTTTTGACATGACCTCCTCTCTTGTCATTACAAACGTGTGTTCTATTAGCTTGTGAGCAGGAATACACTCCATCGTGATTTCGACAACGACACCCAAACACCCAAGTGCCAACCGAGCGAGCTCGAACAGCCTTCCGTCCTTATCTCTCGTCAACTCAATTGTTCCTTTTCCAGGGGTGACCATTTTCAATTTTGTGACGTAATGATCAACGGGCGCAATTCTCTTTCCCGTTCCGTGGGCACCAACTTGAGTAAATCCCCCCATTTGTTGCTCTGCAATAGATGCCAAGTTAGGAAGAGTTAGATTGTATGGTCGCAATGCTTCAACGACCTGATCCATGCCAAGCCAAAAATGAATGTCATTTCGATGTTTTGGCAGTGGGCGGAGTACGGACAAAACGAAGATGGTGAAATGACGATTCAGAGAAAAAAATACTGCGAACCGAACACATTACGTACCTCTCTAACAGGAATCCCTGCCTCAACGGTGACAGTTTTATTTTCTGTGTCAATATTAAGAACCCTGTCCAGGTTAGCCATGCTAATCATTCCATCCTTGTTCAAGGCAACTCCATTTGGACTTAGAGAGGAACCGAGAGGGCGAACTGTTTGGCCTCGTTTCTGACAATCTTCCACAATTTTTTCTACGTCCTCGATACTTTCTGGTTCAAAGAAATTCTTGTTTTTCACCGTGACCTTGTGCGTTCCACTCCAGTTAATGACATCTGTCGTATCATCGTCCTCGATCTCTTCTTCCTGATGAATATCCTCCAGTTTAGTGGTGTTCATCGACATTGATTTAAGGAACAACACTTTTTCCTTCGTCCAGGGATTCTCTTCGAATTTTCCATGCGAAAGTAAAGAGCCAGCACCTACTGCTATAACAGCAGCGGGAAGTACTAAGGATGACGACCATTGAAAGTTGCTACCACTAGACCATCTTTTTCGAAAGGATTCATCTATTGCTCTCTGGAGACGAGGAGATGAACTCGAAAAGCGTCCCCCAGCGTTCAAATTGTGCGAAAAACCATTCAACCTTTGTCGATTCGGTCTTCCCCCCCTTCTCAATATTCCTCTGATCATCTTACTTTTGTTTCTTTTCCTCTTTTGCTTCTTTACAGTAGGACAAAGGTTTTAGGGTCGTTATTATTGGTGTTTCTTCAGACGACATCCGACGTCAAGTGTGCGTTGATTTTGATGGTGGATGGTGACACATACAGGACACACGATCTTTTCGATGATTCACTCAAAAAACTGATGTGTACGTACGTACCCTACGTAAATGATTGCAGTACGATACAAGTACGAGAACGGACGGTAGATCAGACCAATACTGTAATTATCGAATCGAAGACGTGTTACGTAGGCTAGGAAAAACCAAAATTCCGTAGATGAAAATAATATGATATGATGTCGTATCATCTTAGCATGTACGTACCGTATGATAGTACAGAAAAATTTTCAATGCACCCGGTACAGTGGCCTGTACGGCGTACGGCGCAGTAGACCCCTCTTGTTCCTCCTCCGTACTCGTACCGATACTTCCTCTATGTGTTTAAAAATAAAAAATCAGTCTAGTTACTCGTACGGTATGTACGCTAGTACGCTGTGTTGATCTTTTCTGTTTTTAGACTTCCAGGAGATCAGGAACGAAGAACTTTTTGGGCGCGGCTGCTAAGTCAAAAATGCCTCCTCACTGTACCGTACCGTACCTTAGGCAAATTACCATACCGGGACGTAACGGTACGTACCAGTCAGTCGCAAGTCGGACCAAAAATTGTTCCCATACCGTACCAAGTACTTGTACGGACGTACAGTACCATTTACGTACGATACGGACTCGTCTGTACAGTATGGATAACTGCATTGACATAGGCTTGTGCAATACTTGTATTTCGTGTTGTACGTATCATTACTGTAGATACAGTACATGGTAAGTAGTTGATACTGCTTTTACGGATCGACAGCAAACGAACTGCATGTCATTTCTACGGTAAAGGTACTGGATGTTGCTTCTACTGTTGCTCCTACTGGTCTCGAGTACGACAAACCACACCCCTAACTCCAAGCCGGCTATGAAAAACTGTTCGATGACAACAACGAAGCGACTAGGAGACGTTTAACAAAATCATTGATCGTCTAGGGTTACGGGTACACTCGCACTTTCGAACAACGTCAAACCTCAACCCTAACTCTCGGTTAAGACTTTTCCTTGGAAACAAGAAGGCAACAAGTTATTTGACGTTAGGATCCTCTAAGCTTGCGGTATTTGGTATTTCGGCACTTCAACTGTAGAGTCCAACGAACAAGGCTTCACATTCCTCTGGCACGATTAAGCCCCTTCAAAAAATGGATATCCGTAAACGCAAAGATACCCCGGAATCTGCGATCGATGACGGAGATGCACCAAATCGCCGCACGAAACTTCGAACCGAGGAAGACCTTGGCGATGTACCCGCAGGCACCGAAGATCCTTCCGCGGAAAATGCAACCATGGTGAGCACCGCCGCTGCCGCGAGTGCAGTTGATGCTTCTGCGTTGCCCAGCAGCACCGATCCAGAAACTCTTCCAGTTTCGAACGACCCCGCCATCGAAGTGGAGAAAGCGCTAATTGCACCAGCCAACGAAGCCTCGCCAGAGTCCATCACTGCTATCGAAAACCCGGATCTTGTTGCCGCCGCCACGGAGGAAATAGCCCCAAAGATCGACCCAAAGCCGTACACGGCAGAAGAGCTGGCAAACTGGAATCAAATGTTTTTCCAATTAATGGTAAGTGCTGCACGCCTATCGTTGGCTATATCCTTGGAAGATCACTGTTGGATTCCTAATCATGCTCGCGCTGAATTTCTGAACGCCATGGTGGCCAATCGGGTCGAATTGAATGGATATTTGCAACATCACTTTGCTACAGCTTTATAGAATCGAAAACGGTAACGTAAATGTCAAGTCAACGGACAGAAAACACGGGGATTTGTACAGCTGGATCGTTCAGTTGCGAAAAGACTACAAGACACGCGAAAGAGATCCCTCGGAATCGCCCCTCACGGAGGCCCAAATCAGTGTTCTTGAAAGTGTTAGGTTTGCATTCACAACTCGGGGAGAAGAACATTGGCAGAAGAGCTACGAGAGATTGAAGGAATACAAGGCTAATCACGGGCACGTTCTCGTTCCTCGTCAGTGTGAGATTCAGGGATTGGGAGATTGGGTAAGACAGTATGAACTAATGAGCTGTGTCTGCCGTAACTGGACGCATTGGATGATGTTTGCTCACCCTCGTACTTCGTGTCGCCTTTTCTGCCTTGTCTTTTTCACTCTATAGGTCACAAGTCAGCGCCAGCAATACCAAGAGTACAGGAAAGGGCGCCCGACTCCTCTCACGAAACAACGCAAAGAGTTATTGGACGAAATCGGATTCCAGTTCCGGATTAGAAATCGTCCAGAATGGGGTTCGAAGTACCAGGAGTTATTGGATTACAAGGAAAAGCATGGCGATACTCGTGTCCCCCAACATTTCAAAGAGAACAAAGCGCTTGGAAAGGTAAAAAGAAACTAACGGAATTGCTAAGGACCACTATGTGTATCTACCCGCATGTTTCAGTCGAATCGCATTGATAATTCTGCTCACACTTTTTCTGATGCTACCATCTCTCAATTTTTTCGACGTTATAGTGGGTTGCAAAACAGCGGGAGCAATATAAGCTACACAAAAAAGAAAAGCAGTAAGTTATTGCCCACAATTTTGCTCAATCTTTGCGCGAACCCTCTTAAATCCCGTATGGCAGCCAATGTTACGTTTACTTACACCAAGATATTTTCTCTTTTGGTTGCAAACGATAGTTCCTTTCTGACTCCTGATCGCCTGGAGAAACTTAACAGTATCGGATTTGTGTGGAGTGTACGAGGCGAGTCATCTACGTCACAAGCCGATAAGAACGTAACCAATCCATTACCCGATGAGAAGATTGAGCCAACAGCTGTGGTAGCTGTTGACGTCCACATGCCGAAAACCGAAGGGGAAGATAAAGTCATCAAAGAAGATATGGTGGTAAATACAGACTCGCAAGTACCAGTGGATGATGAAGTCAACGACATTCGAAGCGTCAATGTCTAGCCTAGTTGGAGGTGCTGCATCCATGAAAAATAATCCAAGTATGAAATTTTCTTTCATGATGCCTGTTATGAATACGATTATTTAAGACATAGGGTGCTTTTTAAAAATATGTTTGTATTTTTTGGTGTAATGTGCACTGATAGCATTCCATAGTTATTATTTTTCATAAACTTTTTAAATTCAACCTTAAACTCTGCGCTGCATGAGTCAAGCTGCAACTTCATCAATCAGAAAGAAAAAAAGTTGGGACGAAGAAAACATACCAATAAATGTTGTTGAGAAAAAAATCTTCCAATTTTTTAGGCATCATTCTCTAGCAGATCAAGACAAATTTAAACCTGAGAGGCATCTTTGATTTTGTCGTATGTGTCTAGAACCTCGCTGCTGAGTTTTCCTGTTGCAGCGTTGACTGCTGCTGCAGAAACCGCATCTACAGAAATAGGAGGCTCCAAAGCAATTTTTAGGAAACCCGAAGAAACACCTGTGATACCTCGAATGGGACCAGAAGACAAAAGAGATTCGATGAATTCTCCATAGAAACCTGCGACCCTTGGAGGATTTACAGAAAATGAATCCCCACCATAAATGAAAGTTCTGCAAATTAAGAGATTTTTTTATAGCAAGGGAAACAATAGGGATGATGTGAGAGATTTGAACTGGTCTTAGAGCCACTTCATTGCATTTTTGTTCCAACTTCTGGCTCGACTTACGGCTCGATCAAGACGTGGCTACCATTAGGAAAGTTGGACTCCACGGCATTTTGTGAGAATGTTTTTCCTTTCATGTATTCTTTGAGAAAATCAATTCCTTCCGCAAATTCTTTGACTTCAGGCGCAACAGCGATGTATACGAATCGCTCAACACCAGCACTTTTCGCTCCCTGCGCAGCCAAACCTGTTGCCGAATTGACGATGTTGTCATTTTTCGTTCCAATTGATCCAATGCACGAGATAACTGCTGTGCATCCCTTGGAGAGTGCTTCGATTTCACTGACGACATTGATTCCGTCTTTGGTGGCATCGAATGCAATGGTTCCCCCTCGACCATTCGTTGAGGTCGAGATAACTTCTACACCTTGGCTCTTCAACTTCTCTACAACGCGGCTACCAACGAATCCAGAACCACCCAAAACCAAAACTTTCGTGCGTTTTGGTGAAGGATCCACGGTATCATCAGCACTGACAACAAGAGGAGATCCGGCTAAAGTGGACGCTCCTGTTAGCCCAGAAATCAATAAGGGTACAGCGGCAGAGGAAAGAGATTCGCGAAAGAATGCTCTTCGAGAGGATCCCGCAGCCTGAGAGTCAATTTCATTTTGCAAGATTGGAACGTTCTTCGATGATTGAGTAGTTAAACCGAGGATTTCTGTGGCAACCAGGGCCAAGGTGACAACCGCAACTAGTAGATACTTCATGGCGTTTGGTTTCTGGACTACTCAATTAAAATGATCTGGCTGGATAAGAGTACGAAATTGAAGATGGACCGAAAACACCAAACAAGCTACGAGTTCCATGTAGAATTACGTAAGTACGTACTAGAAGAACTCGTACATTTGATCTGATTTTTAGATTTAGATTAGATGCATGATTGGCTCGCTAACGCAAATTGTTTCTACCGTGCAAAAACTAAGTTAGTGCCAGTAAGGTTGAAGTTATGCTCTGAAAAGAATTTGTAGAAGAAGCTATTCAATGAAAGCACTGTGGCTGTTTGTTGTTTCTGAAATAGGAATGGAAATTATCAATTTGTTGTGTATGCTAGGTATTGTTTTTGTTGGTGTTGTTTTTTGTAAGCAGAAGAGGTGATCTTACAAAGAGACAATTGGAAGAAGTTTCTTTGTTACTAGCACTAGTAGTACTACTAACTCGTCTTCTTGTTGATGATAGCACAACAACATAAATCCAATTGCTTGTGTAAGACCAAGTTGAAACCAACACATTCCAAAGATCTTTGCAACAATCTGTGAACAATGCTTGTATTGGAAATATTAATTGGGAATTGAGATAATTGTATTCCCTTGTGTCTTGTTGAGCTTGTTGAGTTTGATTGGTACTACCAACTTTTGTTGGTTCATACTATTCCTGCAGACATCAAAATGTTACTGTTGCTGCTGTGTTTTGAGAAGATTAAGTGATCCCTTTCTTTGAGTCTCCTTCTTCAAGGACTACCTCCATCCATTCAACTTTCTTGGCATCTACACATTGAACATAAAATCCATTAATGTTGATAATTTCACTAGTAGGGGTCAGCAAAGCAACGGTATTTGAAAAACGTTGCGATCCAACGGTCCACAACGCCTTTTTCTATCCTTGACCATTGCACAACGCCATTGCAGAATAAAATGTATAAAAATATAACTACTTGGAAGTTTTACCTACTGGCTGGTGCTTGAACAAGAAGGTCATACTAGTAGTACTTATCAATCACATCAGGGTGAGGCTTATTGTATGCATGATCTGCAACAGGAGGAACATCAAGGCACCCATGATGATTTTTCTTTACAGTAGAATTCTTCTTACTCATACTTGTGGTACTGCTTCCAGTACTAATTGCTTTTGTAAAGTGGCTGTTTGATAATTGTGAGGGATTGGAATATCATGGTGGAAAAGGTGTTCTTTTTGCAACCCTGCTGTTGCAAAATACAATGGTCCAACACAAGCATTGCCTAAATATTTAGTCCCACATAGATGGTACAGTAATTACTAGTAGTTTACTACTATAAAAACCTCTCTTAGAATGTACAAGAATTCATAGTATTAAAATTTGCAAGAAGGGAGCAGCACCAACAAAACCCCCTAACACAGCAGTTCGTATTGCTCACTACCATAACATCCTCACTAGTAGTAAGAAGTAATAGAAGTTTTCCAGTAGTAAGCACTAATAGTCATTCAAAAGTGGTAACCAATGAATTTACCTCTTCAGTAGTAAGGACCACTAATAGAAATATTTTGGGACAAAAGTTGTTGTGTGTGGAGGGGGGGGAAAGGGGAAATGGAGATGGGAGAATGTCCCATATGATTCAGTCTTGCAACGCTGTTGTGTACTGGTAGAGTGTAGCGTTGCACTGTTGCAAAAATTTTAACCCTAGCAGCGTTGCTGACCCCTAAATTTCACAATCATGGTACCCACTTTTCAGTTTAACAGACTTGGATGTGTACATGGCTCTATTTGCTTTGGACTTTTCAATATTTATGTTGCCATTGAACATGACAGGTCTACCAACATACAATTTAAGCATTGGATATATCCTTTTGGAAGATTTGTTTGTACCTGCAACAATGTCAGCATCTGATGTGGCAGGTAGCAAGCAGTATTTCTAAAATCCTGGCATGATGTATCTGTTTTTTCTGTTTTTTGTCCATCTACAGTTTTAGATTTGATGAGGCCTTGATTACAATGGTATGATCTGGTAATCTCTTGTTTTTTATTTTTCCAATGTGCTGTTTTGAAATACTCAGAAAATAAGCCATCATTTATTGCACATTTGTCAGCATTGCTGTATGTTGCATACTAAGCAATATCTTCTGGGAGTTTGTCCCAAGGTTTACAATCCTAGAATTTTCTTAAATCATCAAGAAACTCTCCCCAGATTGGATCATCTTTAAACCTGTGGTTTGTTTTAAGTTCAAGCAATGTGATGGTTTTCTCTCCAAAGATGGATTTTTTTACAATAGTACTAGAGAGTCTCCTCCCATGGGTTTGAGTTGATTGAAGTCACCTACAACAACAATTGGTAGATTTCCATACAAATTATATGATGGCTTGTTACACAATCAGTTCAGATACTTATTCAATGTTTCAATTTGTTTGATGCTACTAGCACCAAATGATATCTTGTCAACAGTGAGTAGGCAAGTCTCATTTACCTGTAACATTGGATCTGTCACAATTAACAAGATAGTGTACTAGCAAGCTTTACTATGTGTTGTTTCCCCATTGATATTAAATGCTGCTGTTCCAGTCATGCCTGCAAACACAAACAACAACACAGCAATACACACAGCAACAACACAAGCATACAACAATATAGCAAACAAAGAACAAATTCCATKGTCAACCTACAAAATTCAATTGATTGATACATTGAAGCAAACTAGTTTAAACAAAATTTTATCAGCAAGAGCTACAAGTGAGCTGAGCAAAGAACATCATAACTAGGATTTAATACACAGTACTACACGTACAAGCGATTTGATACATTCCAAGAAGTTGCAGTTCCTCTGCAGGGTTCTCAGGGTTCTCACCCTTAAAAATCTGTTGACATGACTTGATCAGGGTTCTTCCTTGTCTTTGTGGGCCCTTTATTGAGAATGCTAGCTAGTAGGTAAGAATTCCTTTTTTCCACTTACTTGAGAGGTTGTTCTTTTGTGATGAATAACTTGTGGTTTGCCTGGCTTTTTGGATTTGTTTTGGCGTGCTCACTTGCACAATGTGTTCAAACGAAATTCTGTTATACAAATTAAGCAGATGCAGTGCGCCAAAATTCAATATCTATGATTTTATGTAGGTACATACTAAATCCTGTATACCCAAATGTATTGAGTATGTCGTCATAGATTTTATGTATGTGAATGTCCCAATATCATACTATGAAGGAAAACTTGGGTCATATGTGAGGAGTACGCACGGCACGGTACCGTACTGTACTTCTCATCGACGGTGCACAGCATGTTCATTTGGATATGATGAGTGGGTCTCACATCATTCTCAGGGCTAGAATTATCCAGAACAATATCTTGTGTCACAAACTTTGTCGATCTAAATTCAAACACTGCAACTCTCCCTTGGACAGGGAGCCTTAGTTACTTTTGGGCATGGGCGAGATTGATTCTATCACAGGAAAAGTATTCGGCACCTGACCAGGTCTGTCCCACTCCCAATCGCGACGGCATTCCACTAACGCATTTTGCCCAAGCCTTACTGTACCCGCTCGACCAAGAATGGTTTCGTCCAAGAAGATTGTTGCATTAGATGATGACGACGCTTTAAGCAAAAGTGAGTTGGATCCATGTCGCGCTTCTGACGTAGTTCGAGCCAAAATATCTTTGCATGCAGCGTGCACCGAAACAGAAAAAGGGTCCAAGCGGACATCTTGCTCCTGCTGCTGTTGAGTCTGGAGACCATCTTTTTGTTCGTTAGAGCTGATATGGCTTCCCTGGCCCAAAAGGGTCTTTCCATTGGTACTGATCTCAGATCGTCCCCTTTCCCCGACAAGTCCAGGCAGGCACAAAAGGGTTTCGGGAACATCAATTGCTGGTATCGATTGCAAAAGTTGAATCAAGCCTTTCCAATGATCTAAAGGACCAATCCCATCGCATTGAGGATTAAGACTTCTATTTGAACCACCATTGGCTGAAGATTCTGCAAAGGCATGCGCTATGCTGGTAGTATCCCATCCGAGAATCTTACACGTTACAGGATCGATTCTATATTGAAGACAAAAGGCCTGGTGTCCAAACAACACTTGATCCAGAATCCACAGGCTTTTCTCATAGCTGTTCGGAATTTCTCGATGAGCGCGACTAGTTACGGCCTCTCGGATTTCGTCGTAGTTCAAATTCACGGGAGATGCAAAATATTCTACACGAGCCCGCATACGAACAGGAAGTTTGGATGCCGAATCCTTGAGTCTCACCAAAGTGCGAACAATCACCTTTATTGGCTTTTTGGAAATGTTACCGCCAATTTTATTCCCTGGTAAAGTCCAAAGACTGTATACATACTGAATCGCTGGAAGTGAACTCAAACGTTCGCCGACGGATGATCCGTCTTCTTGTTCTTTGCTATTTTCTATGATAGTCTCGGAAGTCGTTGTTCTGTTTGCTCTTTGCTGGGTCTGCTGAAACAGTTGGTAGAGACCTTCTTGCAAACCCCGTTCGAGACACGCTCGAGGCGAAGAGAAACCATGAGCGATAGGAAAATCTAGAATCGTGATCTGAATTGACGAGGACACCGATGGCTTCGATTTGGATTTCGGATCCGGTACTGTCACAGAGGTACAAGGAAGCATCCAATTGCAAGAATAATCCCCTGGACGTCTCAACAGCGTCTCCAATGTCTCTGAGGTCGTAATGATGTTGGCCGAATACTGAGCTGCCAATTCGAGGGCCTTTGGATCGTTTCGAAGCAATTGCACAGCTGGGGCTGACTCGATTGTAGGCGGAGGAATAGCTTGGCAGGTATTGTGATCTGTCTCGTTTGGTGAGAATTCTGGGATCTCAGTTGTTCTTGTCATCGACGATGACGTTGGTCGTAGCAGTGGCTTTGACTCGTACACCACAGAACATGTCAAATCCTGGACATCCAAGGACGATCGATGTGCTCTGGGATGCAAAGCTAAGGTTTGCCGGACCTTGCCGTAGCACCTTGGTAACGCGTGACTGTAGCATTCGTTGCTCATTTGGTCAGAAGAGCTAGGAGTGGTATTATTGGAGGATGCTGCGAGTGCCTTTTTCCATTCACGATTGATCGATTCCGCGTGTGAACAGGCCCATCGGCTGAAACCATCGACGTTGCGGTTGGCATTCGCGTTGACAATGGATCTCCCGTTGGAAAAACGCGACTCAAACCCTACAAGGTATCGTGACTTGTATCGATAGTGAAACTTATCCAAAGCCAATCGATACGACGCCTGCTCTTTCACAATCATACTCTGCAGTTTTTTAAGTTCCCTTTTTTGTAGATGGCGCGGCTGAGAGGATTGTTTTTGTTCTTGTGTATTCTTTGTAAGCTGTAGGTATCGCCTGTGATGGCCAATTTTAATTGTAGAAAAAGAAGGGTCGTTGATCTCGTCAATCGTTGGTGTCTCTTGTTCGGAATCGTTAGGTATCGTATTTTTGTTTTTATTGACGACCGGAATATCCTCTTTCTTTCCGACCGATTCATAGAACTTTTTGAGCAACGACGATGGGCCGGTCGTTGAAGAAGAGCCGGATATGTTTCCATTTGTCTTCGTTTCGTTCGCCATTGACATCAAAATCTGGGTCGACGGCAATGGACGGCCGCGTGTTCGCTGACAAGAAGAGGCCAGAGCCACTCGATCCGAGAAAGCACTCATATCACGCAACCGACGATGCTCCTGGAAATTTCCATCGTAGTCCGAGTAAGCATTCTCGAGATCGGCAAGATGTTCTTCCCTTCTGGGGATCACCAGGTAAAGGCGTTGCCTGCGTCTTTTTCGAGGTGAAAGGTGTTGTTGGCGCCAAGATCTAATAGGGCTTTGTTCTCTTTCTCTTGTAGAACTATCATGTTGCGAGAGACGTCGCATATCATAACTCATCCTCCCATTTCATTTAGTTCTGTGCCGAGGCTCAATGTTAACACTCATCGTAACTGTTTCTTTTTCTGCTCCTCGTCAATAATTTTTGATGTGGGCGAGATGGCCCAAAAAAGAAAATAACGACTACTACGACTAGTGCATGTCAATTCTTTGTACCTCCACGTTTCGCCGTTCCAATTGTTTCTGTTTCCCGCACCGCGAAATTCCAGTACGAGTAGTCAACTTCCAATCACGTCACAGATTCACAGATAGCAAATCAGACATCAAAATTCTCTTTCTCCGTCTTTCACGTCAAACAAAACCAAAAAGAATAGTTCCATCATGGCAACTCAAAACCTTCCTCCCTTCTTCACAAAGTGATAGACAAATAGACAAAGAAATCCGATCCCTGTCGTTGATCCAAGCAGAAAGCTTCAGCAATGATCGGCTGTCCCAGTATTGCCATCGTCTCATTTTGGAATTTCCTGCTCGTATCGTCGGCTAACGGATTTTTGCCCCTGACAATATCTAAGAACGATGGTTCTACATCTTTCGCCAACACGGATTCTGGTTGTATCACCTTCAATAGAGAAGCCCCCGTCCGTCGACAATTTGGGATACCAGCACATTACTTTGACTCGAAAAGTATTACATCCTCTCTCCGAAACACGAAGAATGGAAATGATCAGGACGTCTTTCCGCGTCACCTAATCGATGCGTTGGACTTGGCTCAAATCATCGAGGAGGTTGCCAGACACACTGGCACTCGAAGAGGCTACGAGGCTTTGTTATCGACCGTTCAACGCAAACCATCGCGAAGGGAATCAAGCTCCACAACCCCATTATTCCTGTCAAATCGACAACGAGAACGGTATGGTGTTGCGGATATGCTTGGACCTTCGTCTCTCTCGCCTATTGCAAAGTCATTCGAGGAGGTTCAATCCGAGTATGCGTTAGTCGAAGAGGCAACTCTATTGCTGTCTCCAAACAGAAACGAAATCGATTCCTCTGGCTGTTTGACTTACCMTCCTCTCTATGGTGATTCTGAAGGTCCTTTCGACATTCATGTGGCATCCCAAACAGACGACGACGAATGGCTGTTCCTTCCATCCGAAGAGTACACAGCAGAAAATATCTTACAAGCGGAGCAGGTCATAAAGAGACTTCTTGAAATTCGCGAATGGAGTCAGCAAGAAACAATGAAAACGTGGGCGCCAACACTAGCACAAATGGGATCTACCATCGACGAGGACGACGAAAACACACTTTCGCAAGTTTACGACGATATTGCCGGAACTATTGAAATCGTTCGAATCAAGTCACTCACTAGCTCGTCGGGAAAGTCATCGTTTTCGGTTCGAGTAAGAGACGATGCCTTCCCCGTGCTTCGATTGCTGCGAGAAAAGGAACAAAAGCTGCTAGACAACGGTGGGAAAGAATTAGACAAAGATCTTGTCGCCATCCGTGCCGAGATCGAGGGAACAACGTTTCAGATTGTATCCAGTCAAGCACAAAAAGTAGTCAGTGTTACGAAAAGTATCGATCAGGGATTGAATATTGCGGCAAGGCTCGATATAATCATGGCAAAGGCTGCCTATGGAATGTCTCTGAATGGAATTGTACCATTTGTGAACACCAACGGAGAAATTGCAATAGAGAATTTTCTCCATCCAATCCTTTTGAGAACGATAGAAGACAGAGATCGTGTAGTCCCGATCGACCTTCGCCTATCGTCTGACACCGGGGAACGTGCACTCGTCATTAGCGGACCTAATGGTGGCGGAAAGACACTGTCGATGAAATCTTTCGGATTGGTTTCTATTTTAACAACGCTTGGCATACCGATCCCTGTAAAAGAGGGAAGTGCAAGACCAAGAGTCGACTACTTCGACGAGATTTTCGTCAATGTGGGGGATCAGCAGAGTGTACTCGATGGTGAATCGACTTGGACTTCGATACTAAATTCGTGTGCTTTGATGCTCAAAAGAATTGGCGAGCAACGGGAAGAGGGTGAGGACCCTTCCCATCTTGTATTGCTCGATGAACTTGGTACCGGAACTGATCCTGAATCTGGCGGTGCAGTTGCTCAGGCTGTGTTGGAAGAGATGATAGAAAAGTCGTGTAGAGTTGTTGTGACAACCCATTTGCCACGACTCAAGGCGTTGTCTTACAACGACGAGCGAATAGGCTGTGCAGCTGTCCTATTGGATTACAGTGATTCCTCTACATTCCGCCGACCGAGTTTTAAATTGGAATATGGTCTAATTGGAGAATCACACGCTCTCGGGGCAGCCTCGAGGTGCGTACCGTCCCTTCCCGAATCGGTATTATCTAGAGCCGCTGACCTCATGAATGACACTAATGAGACCGAAGAGGATGGGACACACAAAAGTTACATTCAAGCTCTGACAAAATCGATGGAAGATCAACTCGAGCGATCTAGGATGGCAACATCATCAATAGAGGAGGATGCCATTGATTCATCGAGATGTCGAGAGGCCATGGTGTCTCTGGCTCGTTCTTATGAAGTTCATCTGGATCGAAGGCTGGATAGCCTTGAATCTACATTCCAGAAACTGAGGGAGAAGAAATTGAGTGACTACGAGTTGGTTGGGACTACCCTCGCCGAATTGAAAGCCGTTAAGAAGAAAATAATAAGCCAAGAAGAAGAACTAGCTGCAAAAGGCCTTCAAGTTTTACCAGTAAGCTATACCCTTAGTCCTGGTGAATCGGTCATCATTATCTCAAAAGACGAATGGGAAGGCATGACAGCAAAAGTCATATCCGATGGATCAACGGGGGCTTCTTCGTTAGGTCCAAACCAAGTCTTGGTGAGACCCTCTTTCTCATTGCATGCCTKGGATGATGTCATATTGAACAGTAATATCGAGCCGATGGCAGAACGATCATTGATTCTGCAGCGCCAAGATATTGCAATATGGCAGCTCGACAGCATTTACGACGACGATGCTTACCAATCAAAACCCGCAACTAGCATCTCTAATTCGAAGCAAAAGGTCAATTCTTTGCTTTCCACTCTTGATTCCGTTTCGAAGAAAAGCCGCCCTAAAAAGGCTGTAAAGAAAAACCAAGCAGGGAAAAAGAAATTCCAGTCATCACGGCAGCGTAAGGCTGCAAACAAGGCAAAGAAACGATGATGGTTGCAAACATTTTCGTTCTCGTTTTACTAAGTTTCAAGAAAAAAATAGCCATTGCTCCACTGTAATAGTAATACTGAGTTCCACAGATCAATTCTTGTTATCAATCTGAAATTCAGCCTCATAATTGAAAACTAAGAATTGCAAACTAACTCTGAGCTCACGAAAAATATAGAATGTTAGATTGAGATTGTGTAGAGAGTTTCATCCCCTCTACCAACTAGACTAATATGGGATAGTATGAATATTTACAGCACCAGTTTTGACATTGTTCAAAGCACAACGCCAAGCGAGGGACAACAAGAACAAAATAATTCCTCAGCAATAAACCACCATCACCATGTTCAGTCGTCAGTTTTGGAACAGCACAAATGATTTGCTGCAAGAACAATCAACAAAAGGAGAAAGCCCATGTTGTGAGTCGTCATAGCTACTCTCCTTAGATTTACCACCTTTGATTATACATGATACTACTAGTACTACTACTAGTAGTGCTACTCGAAGTAACAATGCTTATGATAATATAATGCTACAGTACATATGGCTGTAATTACGCACTGTACTGGCCGGTACTAAAGTGCCCGAACAAACAAGCCTACCGGTACCGGTACAATCCCAATGTACGTATGTACTCGTAGTCGTAGAAGTACGTACTTCTCATACCTTGGCTTGGGAGGTTCCGAGTTCGGAACATCATTTTTGAAGATCAGTAAACTTCGGTGTCAAAACTGGCTATCCAAGAACGATAATGCTAATCGCACTCGCGTATTGAACGATTTCCAAAACAAAAAAATACACAATCCACTATTCGACGACGATCAGTTGGCTGATGTGCAGTGCCGCAAAGATAGTTGTAGCTGGTCGTCATTCTATGAACCGCACGATGTGGTTGGCTTCTTCCAAAGGATCGAATAATGTTACCTTATCAACTAAGAGAACTTCGGGTTGGAGAGAAAAAGGGAGCCAATAGACGACGAAGCGAGGCGTCCAAAGAAGAAACTAAAGATGGAGAATGCGGAGGCACAGTCCAGAGAGCAATGACGAAGGATCTGATAAATCTCAGGGAGAAATTTAGAAAACAAGTGCTTCGTGATTCGGATTGCCGCACTGAGTCGCCCGGTCACCAGAAAGCTGGAACTGCATTTTCGATGTTCAAAGATATATTTGGATCTTCGAAAACAGCAGTACTCCATCTAATACCACCAGCTCGTTGTGACAGAGAAGCCTACTCCCAATTAATTTATGCATCATGCTTGGCACTTTTCAAGGAATCATTTGAAAGATACTCATGGGGTACCACCGAAAACCTCGTGGACAGAGACGATGACAGTGACAACTGCAGTCACTACGACGATGCTTGTTTCGCTGTTTTTTCCTTATTTGCCTTGTTCGAGACAAACCCTCTGCCTCGAGATTTCAAAGGAGACAATCCAATGGAACTTCTACCAGTTAGTGTGAGATCCTCGAGCGATCCTGAATCTTCACACCGAAGATTTTTTTTGAAAAACATTCGTATCGATCGTCGGCATTTTGCTTTGTTTTTGGGACTAAGAGAGGCATCTTTGGCCAAAATATGCGACTGTGAACGATCGTATTACACAAGCAAGAGATCCCTCCTACACGGTTCTAGACACGACGAACAGGGTCATTTGTGGCGTTGTTCTTGTGCAATGGCCACTGATAGTTTGGAAATTTTAGATCGAATTTTTCCTCTCCTGGAACTAAGCGAGTACACAGGACCCGTGGGTGCCGAAGCGTTTGCAGGCCATGTTGAGTACCCTTACAGTAGATCATTTTTGGGCCAAGAAAGTGCCTGTCAGAGTGGTAAAAGAATCCCTGAATCATTCCATGCACCAAAAATCCGAGGAGACACGAAGCGTTCAGTAGTGTCGTCGATCGACTACTCGACTGAGATTAGAACTCTGATCGGAAAGTATAAAAAAATTGTCGCGGGGATCCGGATCCCGTCATCAAAGCTGAAGTCAGTCAGACATCTACGAGGGGAACTCGAATCACTATTCTCGGCAATCAGTGCGAAGCAACGACAAAGTACCAGATCGGTGCTGGTCGACCAATCCGTAGAAACTAAAAGACATCAAAACGACTCTAATGAACTTCCAGGAGCTTCAATACGCACAGAAATATCGCAAGCCTATCAAATAATTCTGGGTGAAAAAATCCCTGATAGTCTCAAGACACAGTTACGGGCTTCTGTGATGGCTCTTTTGAGAAGAGATGAGCCCATTCCCCTCCCATCGGACTTAGATGACCATCGTTCCAAACCTTCATTGGAGAGAGACGATATTTCATCAATCGGTTGCGGTGGAATTTCACTTGCGATGGGTCAGGGTAGAGCAGGCATTCGAAGTTTGTTCTCTTGTGGTGGACGGGAATCCGTCCCAAAAAATTCTTATCAGAAGAACGAGATGAAAATAATCACTAGTTCGGCCTTCGCAAACGAATTTCTGACTACAAACGAAGAAATCGATTCGGCAGGTTCTTCCGATGAAAACAGCATTGATTCAGAAATTTCGGTTCTTTCGTATTCTAGTTCGGAAGGCATCGATGACGACCAAATATCAATGGCAACATCTACGTTTGGAAGAAAAGCTCTGGATGACTTACTCCAAAAGGTGGCACACGAAGGAGATCGTGGGGTTAGGCTGAAAAGGAAGAAGTCCAAGGCTTTGTCATCTAACAAAAAGATAGGGGAGAGGCAAGGAAATAATACTAGATTGTCTTCTTCGATCACTAATTCGAAGTATCGACACGAGTACGAAGATGACGATTCAGCTGCTACTTCTGCATTTGGAAAAAGAGCTCTTGACACTTTACTAAAAACAGTGACACAAGAAAGGACAAGTAGTCTCAAGGGTGGAGTGAATAATGGAAAAGGGAAGAACCAAAAGCAAGTGTCAACAAACTCAAGTAGAGAGAAAAGAGAGCAACAAGAAGATACTACAAAACTGCGTTCTTCCTTGAATATCAATGATGAGGACGAGGATTCAATTGCTACATCTGCATTTGGAAAAAGAGCTCTTGACACTTTACTAAAAACGGTGACACAAGAAAGGACAAGTAGTCTCAAGGGTGGAGTGAATAATAGAAAAGGGAAGAGCCAAAAGGCGAATAAAAAGAAAAGGAAAACGCAAGATTATGCTAACAAGTTGACTTCTCCAATTAAAGTAAATCAGGGTGAAGATGAGGCATCAGTTGCTACATCAGCGTTTGGGAAGAGAGCACTAGACAAATTATTTGAGAAAGTAAGACAAGAAGGAGCAAGAAATCCTGGCGAAGGAGTACAAACTAGAAAAAGAAAGAGACAGCAGGCAGTATCAATGAAAAAGAAAAGGAGTATGGAGGAAAACGCTGCCAAAGTACATCCTTTTTTGACTGGGCGGAGTGACATGAACAGTGAAGATGAGCTTTCAGTGGCGACATCTGCATTCGGGAAACGGGCACTAGAAGAGCTACTCCATACTACCACTCAAGAAAATAGTGGGATTCAGAAGGGAAAAGGTAATCCAGATCTAGAAACACAACAGAGAATAGGGAAGAAAAAGGACGATACGAGCAGTGCTACGAGAAAACTAGGTGAGAATGACAACGACGAAATATCAGTGGGCACATCTGCATATGGGGAAATGGCCCTAGGAGACCTATTGAAAGTTGCTACACAAGAGGATGTTGTATAATGAAACAAAATTCTGCACTCTTTTTAACAACGACCTCTTGAAGTTTCAATCCATACATAAAATAGAAATCCAATTAGACGGGAGAGTTATTTTAGAGAGCACGAAGAATGTATTGACGTATACTCCTTGTCAACTTGTATGTATCATGGCATACTCTTCTTTTTCTTGCGTGACTTCTTCTTCTTCTTCGAAACTTCTGTTGAGTCAGCCTTTCTTTTGTTTGGTACTTCTAGTGAAAAAGAGGGATTCAGTAGTTCGATTTCAAGTTCGCGTTGATAAGCTTGAATTTCGCGTACCCATATCTTTACCCTGACTTTATCAAATACTTGCATGGAAACGTTGCCATTGTAAATAATCTTGTTTTCTTTTGGGAGACGAACCAGTTTAGGATCATCAGAGGAAACAGGAAGCTTCACTTGCCCTTCGATACCGTATTGAGGAACCATGACACGAACTGATGGATCACTTTTCTCGGCAGTTTCAACATCCAGTATGTATGCGTCTTCTTCTTTAGAATCGTTCGCGAAGAAAATAAGTGTATGAAGCTGGACGCTAGCTCGTCCAGCTAACTGTGCTGCTCTATGCCTTCGGTTCATATTTGCGCACAAATCATGAAGATATGTTTTGGAAGACAAATGAGCTGGAAGTGGAGCTACGTTGATTGCAGCAGCAAGTAACCGATGTACACATACATCCGCGTATCTAGAAAAGCAACATAATTGGACGGATAAAGTGAGTTGTGCAATGTTTCAGAGAAAGAAAGCAGCTTGCTTTATCAACCTGCAAAAAACGAAATCATACCTTCGAATGGGGGAAGTAAAATGTGTGTAGACAGGAGCCGCAAGACCGTAATGATGCCAATCCATCGGTCTGAATTCACCGGAGCAAAAATACTGGGCTGGTGACATGCATCGGGTGGATAAGATGCGAAGGAGTTTATTGAAATACGGCTCACTTTCGAGTACAGCTGCATCTAGTGAATCTGCAAGCCTTTTCGAGTTTTCAATGTCGATTTCAAATCCTCTACATCTTGCTTTACTGATAAGGCCCTCAAACATTGCTCGGTTTGGCGCTGGATGCCTTCTCAGAACCGATAGAGTTGGATAATGGCGAAGAATTTTCTTAGCCACAGTAATGTTGGCCAAAAGCATGAATTCTTCAACAAGAGCATTTGCTTCCAGCAAAGCATATGCTTGCACATCTGTTGGATTCAACGATTCACTATCGAGAACAAATTTGACTTCTGGTGACGCAAGGGTCAACGCACCAGCATCAATTCGTTTCTTTCGAAATTTTCGAGCGAGGGAGGCGAGTCTCTTGACTGCACCCACTTGAGGGTCATCATTGTGATTATCAGGCTGATCTATGAAAGTTTGAGCCTGCTGATACGTAAGGGCAGCAATAGAATGGATAACTGTCTTCTTGAAGTCCACATTCAAAATCTCTGCATCTGGCGTCACCTCCCAGATCACAGAAAAAGCATATCGATCAACATTTGCTCTTAAACTGCATAAGTCTGTTGTCAGGAGTGCAGGCAACATATCCAGACGTTTATTGACAAGGTATGTAGACGTTGATCGGTTGGCAGCTTCCAAGTCCATTGCACTCCCTGGGGAGACATAATGAGTTACATCAGCGATCGAGACACCAACCTGGTAATTTCCATTCGGTAGAACTATGCAGTGTAGTGCATCATCGATGTCCTTACAACCCGGTGGATCGATCGAGAGTACTGGTAGATGCCGAAGATCGACACGATCAGGCACCATTGTTATCTTGTAATCATTCGGAGGAAGACATGCCAGGACCTGCGCCGGAAACGGTTCATGTGCAATCTTAAATTGTTGCAGCAGCACTTCCGTCTCAACGTCTTTAGATCCAGCGGGCCCAATTGTTTCTACGTAATGACCCAGTGGATAGGAAGAGTAAGAAGGCCATGAGTCCATCGTGACAACAATTCGTTGCCCCAAAAAGCGATCTCGTTGCGATGTTCGAATCAAAATTGGGGGAATCGTGGTATCCGTGGGGAAAAATACGCATGTTGCGCTGCCATCAGCATGTTCCCGCTCGTTTTCAAGCGCAATTTTTTCGCGTTCTGAGACCTCCGACGTAGAACCTTTCGCCTTCTCGTAGATCGAACCACTATAGCTTGCAAAATTTCGTCGGAGAATCCCGACCACTCTTCCTGTGGGTTTTAGATTTCTGACCTTATCATCGACGGAAATGGCATCAGGAACATTTGCGAGCTCGTTTTGGGTTGGCTCCGCAGTTTCATCTGCTATTTCTACCTTCTTTCTTTCCACTCCTTGAATGTTATTTGATTTAGAAGTATCAGTGGATATCCATTTCTCGATTGAATGCAACTCGATCGCCACAACATCACCATCAATGGCTCGATTCCGATCAAGGGTGTTTTCGATTGTGACAGCAATTCTTTCGTCGCCTCTACGTATAGTAACATACGCTCCTTTCGAAGACCTTTCGGATCTTATAGCGCCTCTATAGTAGCGTCCTGATTTGACACCCATAGAGAGTTCACTTTGTCCAACGTGAGGGCGGAAAATATCTTCCTCGCTTCCACTCTTTCCTCCTTTCGTACTTGTTGGATTGCCGTATTGAGCAACCGAATCCGTCAAGGATAGACCCGGGTGAAGATCGTCAAGTTCTTTTGCCCAGCTTCTCACGGACATTGCCTCGTACAGGTGCTTAGTTTTCTTCGCTTTTTCGCGTGAAGCCACATCGTCGGTGAGTAGAATAACCCGAAAGTTGGAACCACGCAAATGTTCTCCAAAAAGAGCGGCAACATTCCGGATTCTGGCATCATTTTCGTCATTAATACTCTCAATTTCATCTTCTTCTATGTGCGCTGTTTGGGAATGGTGCATATCGGGAAAGAAAATACAACATCGGTTGTGGTGTTTCTCCCCAACTTCCCTCAACAACTCTACAGCCCTATCGTAGGCGACCATGCGGTTTGACCGACACTCTACCAACGATGTCTGTGGAAATACCAGATTGGGCATAACTTTTTGGCTTTGCTCGAGAATGTCTAGATTGTGCAAAAGGACATTCGTATCGCAAATGACGAGAGCATTTGACTTGTCTGTTCTAAGAAGAGATAATAGGTGGTTCGAATCCTCTATGGTTCGGGGCTTTGCAACCGTTGCTTCTTTTGCGCGACGATTGCTTACACCTTCGTCAACATAGTAACAACCCAGCCCTAGATCGTCCCGTAAATATCGTTCTGAAACCGATTTGATGATTTTTCCCTTCTTTCGAGTTTGTTTGAAAAACGCCGGGCGGAGATAAAGAGACGGCGCCGTGAGAATGTCGCTCATTTCTTGGTCGCTCTCCTCTTCGTCCATCATTGTTGACGGTTCCTTTCCCTCCCTATAAAATGGAACTAGATTTTCCCTGCGATTACCACTGTTGCGTGCGATTGAGCCTAGTGGTGTAGCTTTTCGTTCGTCTCCCAGATCTTCCTTCGCAAKCCAACGTTGAGAGTTCTTCACAGTACTGAAGTTGGATGTTTTTCCGATACAAAATCGCACTTGTCACGTATTTTTTCCAATCGAGGATCTTGCTTTTGATGGATTGATGGATTTTCGACCCAAAAATCGATTGGCGGTGGGGTATATTCGTGACTGACTATGTTTTTGATTCGTTTTCCCTTGCATCCCGGTGTTACGCGTGTTATGATTCGAGGACGTTCAGCAACAAACATCATTTTAGTCGATCAAACGGTGAATTATCTATTTGCTGAAAAGGTTGGGAAACTACTAGAGCACGTGAACGAGATTAAAAACTAGGTCAACGACATTCACCACTTCGACTACTCGCACTTCCGGATTGGCCTCTATAACCTACACAATCAATTAATTGATCGCATCAATTGCCGAAAACATGAATTTCTTTAAGAAAAATCTGTTGTCAATTCTATTTGTCTTCAGCATCACATTTTTCTACCCGAACGGCGTCGACGCGCAATCCTCAAGCAAGAGCGATGACGTCGATCCAAAAAAGATTCTCGAAAAATGGGTGTCGACTGCAAGAGAACAATACAATGGCCTTCCGGATCAAGGAAAATTTGCCACGGGTGCGGTAGTGGGATTTACGACGTCTAAGGTTGTAGTCAACTCTGCTGTAAAATTTGTCAAGGTTGCCGGTGCAGCATTTGTTGCAACCGAAGTTCTCGAAGCTGTAGGAGTCCTCGATAGGAACACAGCCGAGGAATCAGAATCAACAGAAAACTTGAAACGAAAGGCAATCAGCAAAATTGGAGAGATTCGCACGTCCATTCGAAGGCGATTAGACGGCAAGAATATCAAGCGATGGATGGAAACAGATAGAATGGGCTCCCTCGGTGCCGCTGCGGGGGCATTTGTTGGATTTCTTTTATAGAAACGAATTATGTCGAATTTTAAACTACAGCCTCGTCTCTGAAGAATTTGCACGGCGGGGATAAATTACTGAAATTACTATTACAATCAATAGTGATTTACTTCTTCAAAATTCTTTGATTTAGGCAGTATACAAGTCAACGTGCCGGTGTAAAATATATTGCATCGTGGAATATAGCATGAAAAAGTTTCTCGTCACTGAGAAACAACCATAGATACCTTTTCAATCATATTCAAAAACTAAACTAAACACTTGCGAAGCCGCCTGTAAAACCAAGATCGATCGAGCTCGTCAAATTCCATCCTCCATGGCTTTCAGGATTCTCAAACTTAATGTTCGTGCGTCGATTGCCATTGTTCATTCTTGAACTCGATGCAGCATCTTGGCGCAAACCCAGTCTTCCCGATCCTGGAGGTGGCAAAGGCGGTACTTTCATTTTGGCAGAATTGACCGCTTCCTTCAAAACAGTTTTTTTCTCGTTCAAAAAATTAAGGGTCTCTGTGACTTCCTCCGCTTCCTTATTCATTCTGTATGTTTCGATATCTTCAGAAGTTCTTGTCAACAGCTTGTTGAACTTTATCGAGCAGCTTGAGCAGCAAATGAGCCCCCCTGGCCCACCTTCCGGACAAGCTTGATCGTAGGAAGAATTATTTTCTGAAAACGAGAATGGTCTCCAGATAATCTCTTTCGAAAATATGCCTCCAATTTCTTTCTCTTTATTTCCCTCTCCACTTTCTTCTTTTACCTCACTATTTTGACTGTCGCTCTTCGTTTCTTGTCCCGTCTTGTTGGTGTTCTTGGCATTCGTTCCATTTTCGTCGCTTAAAACGATGTTCTTGAGATTCGTTGCATCTATTGCTTCCTGTAATTTCTGCTCAATTTTTTTGTCTAGGTGTTTTCCATTAGCAAGCTTCGCTCGACGGACTCTCTCCCTAAGATATTTGATTTCTTTTTTCTTGATAAGATACTCTTCCTCGGTCATCCCCAAGTGCTTCAATTTTTGTAGTAAAATTGTTCGATTTCTTGCCCGAACACCGGCCGCGATCTTTGCTCTGTCGGCGCTCGATCGTCGCTTTCCAAAGTTCCATGGCTTGTTTCCCTTATTAGCCTTTGAGATGCGACTTTTGCTCAAATTTGTGTGTGAGTATCCACCCTTTTCTGTTCTGCGTGTATACGTCGGTTTCGCCTCCTCTTCCTCATCGACCAAAAACTCTTTTTTCTTTCTTTTTTTTCGCTTCCACAAGGGTTGCTCAGGTTTGATATCAGAATCTTCATTTTGTGTTCCATTCTCCTCAGAAACTTGTTCGAGTTTTACTGGCTTCATGCCACTTTCATCGCGATCTACGCCTTGCTCCGTATCTGCCTTGAGCTTACTTGTGCTTTCCTCATTTTCGGCTTTATGGCCTGCTTCTGCAGAAACATCCTCGTCGTCGATTGAATTTCCTACGGTGGGTCTTCGTTTGCGTTTACTTCCGGTCATTTGTCCATTCTTGGAGCGTTTGAAGCTAGATTGAACCACGTACGAGTATTGAACCGTACTGTCGAACGAAGGATATTTAAAGGTGGCTACTGACCAATCAAGATCTTCTTGATATCGATTCCAATTCTAGTAGGGAAAGGTGAGAAATGGCAAATATATAGTTTGATGAGCATTTGGTGCGCGAAGGAGTTAGTTGACCAGAACTTGATTGGTTCCTTGTGGTTTTCTGTTTGTTGTGCTATGCCAGCGTGACATTGTCTTGACACCACGGCACGCTGTGATGTGCATTCCTGTGAACAAAGCTCGAGAAGGCGATGATTGTCGATCGGCACAGCAGTGATAACATGCAGACTCCTCCTCCCCCTCCTAAGCTGCGTTCGAAGTGAAAGAGCCGCACCCTTTTAATCGAGTGAGTCGAAAACACTGTATCGTACTTTGATTTTTACTGGTACCGGTTATTCAAGAACCTAAGAGTACGACTAATCGAACGAATCAATCTTCGAGAATTTTTTCGAACGCCACCGTCCACCGTGCACGTTCTCAAAAGGTACGGTACCACCGTAGCTACCGTACCTACGTCATCGTTAGAAGACTCAGTCATATCGGTATGCAGTAGTACCGGTTTTCATTTTTTCTACGAGTAGGGTAAAGTATCGTACCGCGTCGAAGCAGTGAATGAATCAATCGGATGTGGTAAGACAACGATGACACAGGCAAAGTCGCTCTGACACGGAAACAAGAACAGCATATTGTACCGTACCAAAACCAACGTTTGACATCATCCATTAACATCGAACTCATAATATTATTATACTCTTATCATCGAATAGTACTTCATTTGAAACCGAAAATGAAATCCTCCATTCTCTCAGTTGCTACCTACCTTTGCCTTTCCGGACACGTCTCGGCGTTTCGATCGTCTTTCGTTTCTTCGACCAACAATGGATTGCAAACAGTCAAAAATGATTCCTCTTTAAAAATGGTCGACAGTGAGTGAAAATATTTCTGGTGTTTGGGCGTGGAAATCATACTGCCATGAATGCACATATATTTTCTAAACGATTGCAACTTTCTTTGAACTTTGTTTTGTAGCCAATATTGCAATCGGAGCAGCGATTGGTGTCGGTGGGTTTGCCGCCGGAATCGGATTGTTGGCTTTTGCAGAAGCACAAGGAGAGCGATCCAAGGAACGAGGGTCAGGTTTGTCTGAGAACATGTCCACTCAGCTTTCGGGAATGTTTATGGAAGATGTCGAAGTGAGCTCTGTAGAAGATCTTGGGTCACTGACGAGTCAACTCGAAGAGGCGCTTAAGAAATCTGGAGGTGCCGAAGAAGAGGTGTTCGAAATGACGGATGAAGAAATTAAGCGATTGGAAGAGGAAGCAGACGATGGTTGGTAAAGAAATCGATGACCAAATACAACTTTCCCTGCTTCTCGAACATGGGGATCTTGTGCCCTACGAAACACTTGATCTAAGCTACTACAAAACAGACTTCATGTCCTCTGAGAACAAATGCGAAGCAAAAGATTTCACATACCGCACATGAATATTCACGCCAATCAGTATTTCACCTTCAATCAAAGAGGTATCAAAAATAGATACGAGAATTGTTGGTAAGGGACACATATCCATGGTAACAACTTGCGAGATAAAGGCTAATTAAATAGAAACAAATAACAAGGAGTTACCTCTCAAAACGATGTTGGAATGCCTTACCAAGAAGATGCCATCAGATGTTTGTACGTGTTTTTACACGGGCTTAAATCTTAAATTGCATCTCGAAACAATATTCATGTCGTCTTTTTGGTTGACCAAAGATATTCTTTCATTGTTTGCATTCATTCATTTCTATCATGGTGTTTTGATGTAACATCCAAAATGGAGCTGTGGTGATCGATGATTTCTCTTCCTGGGACAAGAGAAGGATTCTGCTCTCAATATGATGAGAAAGGGAAGTGGAGACTTCTGAATAATGACACTGCTGGTTATCAGGACCAAAAACTTCACCAGCTTTGTATTCTCTTATGAATGGGTCTGGCCCGGAGGGACCTGAGCCCTCTGTGGCTCAAGAAATAGCTAGTTCATGTTTCACTTTAAGTAATTGCACCATACGTCAGATTTGTTGATGCTTCTATGAGGTGAAAGCATAAATTACCCTTGTCCTCCTCTAGACTTTGACCTCATCAAATCAGGACTCACCTTTGCTTTTACTAGTACCCAAACCACCACCAGCAGAGGATGTCTGATATGAACTTCACTTGCACTCTTCTTTTGAAGTTTAATCAACCCTTTATTTGACATCTCATTCGCTTGGTGGGTACTATTCTGGCTCATCATTCCTTGAAGAAGTAGAGATTTTGCTTCTAGTAGCTAGCAGCAGTATCCTCATGGCTGGGTTACTGATGGATGATACTTCTACTTGGAACTAGAAAGACATGCCTTGTTGGAGAGCTTCCTTTCTACTCAATTTGGGGCCCATTCATTTTACAAAGCTGGCTTATTGCTTTATCTTCCTTCTGGTGTGGTTGTTTTATTGGAGTTAGTACTAGTGAACTTTTCTGGTTTTACAACAAACAACGAAGCTGATGGGAACAGGCCACCAGCATGATCTGCGTCACAACAACTGTGGTGATGTTGAAAAAAAAAACAAGCAAGAAGAAGAGGTACTAGTACTAGTAGTACGACACTACTACTACTAAGAGGATTAGTAAGAAAAACTAGTAGTAGTAATACGACTATGTGGTGGTAGTACCACTATTATTATATACTACTTATAATAGAGTGATAACATTAGCAGTAGTAGTACTACTAGTACATGTGAGAATGAGTTTGTGGCACTAATTTTACTCAATCCTGAACGGTCATGATGAGTTACAGAAAAGTTGACAAGAAGTTTTGGGACAGTGAAAAAGGTCATACTAGGCAACACTTACTATGGGACGAGGGAAGATTTTTTTTATGACTGCGGAACACTGCCATGACCGGTTTTCGCGCGGGATCTTTGCGCACACGTACGTCACAGGCGCGCAACAAATTCGAAAGAGCAAAATCAATGACATCATGGTGTTGTAGGTATCATACTGTATCCTACCGTATGTTCTTCCACTTTCTTCAGCAACGCCAGATGGATAATTTCTGTTCGAACAGAAATGAGAAATGCAAGATTCGTAAAAAGAATCGGATGAAATTGGAGTGATTCCACATTCATGCAAAAAACGACGACTTGTTGTTTCGGATTACATCTACTACCACACAGAGCTAGAATCAGAACAACATACTACCATGGCACCTAAAAGATCTCCTGCGCACGGGGGACTGAAGGCATTATCTATCCAATTTATTTCGGTCGGCTTGTTTCTGGGAAGCTTCGAATTTGTGTCGGCATTTGTTGACACGACACCTTCTTTCGCCAGTCGTACGATATCACGCGTGTCGGGTCCAATGGGTACAGCACGACGCATTCCATTCCCATCTCTTCATCAGTCGTTTTCGTCAGAGGATGGAATTGTCTCTTCGGCGGATGTCGATGCAGACGAAGACGCAGAACAACGGTTGGGCGGCGAATACAACAGCGAAACCACCAATGGCGCCGGTGATGGAAAATTCGCAGTAGAAGGGTCGGATCGCTGGAAAGGCCTACTCGCTTCGACAGGCTTGGAAGGAAAATTGAGACATGTTTCGGACCTGCCAAAAGAAAGGAAGGTCAGTACCTTTGACATTTTTTGCAACCGAGAATTGAAGGTCGAGAACTTAAAAGCAATAGGCTTCGATATGGATTATACGTTGGCCCAGTATCAACAGCCAGCATTCGACAAACTTGCATTTGACGGGGCGAAAGAAAAATTAGTGAAAAACTTAGGGTAAGTGGGGTATTCGCTACTCATTGGGATTCCAGAATGTCTCGTCGCAATTTTTCAACTAACGCGAGAATTAACACATGTTCTCGTTATCACGCTGTCAGGTATCCTGCAGAAGTCCTGGATTTTGAATACGACCACGAGAGGTGGACACGAGGATTAATCATTGATACAGAGCGCGGAAATTTCTTGAAGATCGATAGACACAAATATGTCCGTGTTGCCTACCACGGAATGGAGAAGATCGATTCTAGAACGAGGAAAGTTTTATATTCGAAGAATTTCAATAAGGTCGAAAGTTTCTCAGAAAAATCTTATGTGAACATGGATACTCTCTTTCAATTCGTAGATGCCCATCTATTTGCCTTGCTGATCGACATGAAGGACAATGGAGAATACGAGTTCTTGGATTTCAAAACATACTTGGAAATCTATCGGAACATCCGGGAAAGCGTTGATCTCTGTCATCGAGACGGTGTCATCAAGGACGAGGTAGCACGCAATCCTGAAAAGTATCTTGTTCTAGACAAAGGAATGATGCCCATGTTACGAAGATATAAGAAGGATGGCATGAAGCTGTTCCTGTTGACGAATTCGTTCTGGGAGTACACATCGACTGCCATGAATTATATTTAGTAAGTTTTGTTTGTGATGCCTTTTCGGCTGGCAAGTCTGCGAAGCGCAATTCTAAACTATTCCTCTCTTATAACATTTCTTTATTCAGTCATGGTAAGAAGGTAGACGAAGAGACGCAAAAAAAGAACGAGTGGCTTGAACTATTTGACGTCGCGTAAGTTGAATCATTTCATGAACGTGGTATGGACGCAATGTGAAACTTCAAAATACGCATCTCTGTGAAGTCGGCACGCCCTAATTTTATTTTTTTCCGCAATTCGATTTTCTATGCTGGAATAGGATTGCTGGATCATGTAAGCCTGCCTTTTTACTTGATCCGTATCTTCAACTATTTCGAGTGAACATGGAAGATGGTTCATTGAAAAACACTGACGGAGTTTTCGAGATGAAAGCAACGCCGAACGGCGTCGAAGGATTTCTGGAGAAAGGAAAGGTTTTCCAAGGAGGAAACTGGCAACATCTTCACAAACTGATGGGCGTTACAAGTGGTGACGAAATACTGTATGTCGGGGACCACTTATATTCAGATGTGCTCAGGTCGAAGCGTACACTGGGTTGGAGATCTTTGTTCATCATGCCAGAGCTGGAAGATGAAATGAGAGTATTTGCGGAAACTCTACCACTTCGAAAGAAAATTGAATATTTGAGAAGACTTCGCGAGGAACTCAGTCGAAAAGCAGAGGATATCCGTCGAGAGAACGATAATGACGATCCTTCCATCCAAAAGATTTTAGACGAGATGGATGAAGACGAAGCGTCCATCAAAGCGACCTTGTCTCCTCTCGTTGAACAATGGCATCGTTCTTTCCATCCTTTGTGGGGAGCCATGTTTAATGCTGGATACCAAGACTCGCGTTTCGCATTTTTCGTTCAGAACTACTCTTGCCTGTATACTTCACGAGCTTCCAATCTTGGTCTCGTATCGACCAAAAAATCGTTCCGCACTGTAATGGAGTCGGTACCCAACGACCGGCTTGTCTTTGATCCTCAAACAACGCTTGATGATAGCGACCCATGGGAATAGATTCCAATGAATTCTCTTGAAAGACAATTCGACTAGAAAGAGGATGCATCCAATAGCTAACTCGGATGCACTGATATAGAGCACTTTGCACGCTGGCACTACCTTAACGAATTTAATTATAGACTTACTAAAGTCAGTTAGGCACGTTAAATACTGTCACAGCAGTGGATCAAAAGTATCCCGCCCATTGATTTTTCTCTATCTGCTTTTCACAAAATAATTCTTCGTACTGCAAAATTGTGATGTCCTATTTTTGAGCGACATTATTTCTCCAAAACTATTATCGAAATAAGGGTCGGTGCTGGGCCTTTACTCTTCGAATCTCTCCCTTATTTTATTCAGTATATAGAGTTTCTCGCATCCTTTGTCACCAGGCGGTCTCGTAACTTCCAAAACATCAACAAGAATCCATTCTTCGTTTTCTAAAAAGTCAAAAAAGGCGTCGTCGCCGTTGGCCCCGCCCCTACCCTCACCAACATAGATGAGAGTATCATTATCGGATGAGGCTCCTGTATAAGTCTTAAGTGCATCGATTGCCATCGATCCCGGGGGTGGATATACCATTAAAAGAGCTCTCCCTCTGCATGCCCAGGATCGCAAGACCTTCTCAAGATGCATGGTAGATTCAACTTTCTGTACGGTTCCAAAATGATCGTGATGCGGTTGTGTGTACTGATTGTATATGTGTGTGTTCAACGGCAAATTCGAGTTGTTGTCGTACGCCACACAGAAATCAGAACTACCCCCGCTTCCAGTACTTTCGGGCTGGTTTTCTGCCGATTTCCTAGCACTCTCCCGGCTGTGGGCATCTGTCAAAGCTTTCTGCCATTGGCCGTGTCCTGCTCCGACTTCAACAATTCCTCGTGTACCACATAATTCAATCAGTCGGCTCAAGATTTCATCGCTAAATCCGGTACAACCGTATCGGATCAAGAAGTCTTCGCGCATTTGTGCCGTAACTCCCTTTCCGTACGCCAGTTCGAAAACTTCTTGTCGCAAGGAGGCCATTTTCTCCTCAAGGTTTGGATCACCTCTCAGTTTGGGAGCATCTTCAATTACTAGCTTGCGCATTTTTTCCTCGTCCTGCTGTCGCTTTCGAAGGAACTTCCTGGGAATCTGAAACGCTGGGTCTTTGGGAGTCAGCCGTCTTGGGAGAGGCGGAGAGGAAAGGCCGATGGACACCAATGCTCGATTCCACAACGAAGGAGGATTGGCTGCGATCTGCGACAAATCACTTGCCGATCCCACAGGGCGCAGGGGTATTTTCGCGGAAGACCCACCATCGCACGCACAGGGTATCGAATCGAGGATGCCGCGAGCGGATTCGCGGTGATAGCGTAAGGACTCATCAGAGTCTTGGGTCGACACCAAACATATTATCGCCGTTGAAGTGGTCGTGCCGAGGATAATCGTTTTGCGATGAGACAAGAGGAGTTTGCGTAGTGAGTACATTCTCGGGTTGTGACTAATAAAAGCACCGGTACAACAATACTTTGGCCATCGAATGTTACTCTTATACTCCTTATGTTCCTGCACCGATGAAATTTTTCACCTTGATTATTCTTAAAAAAACAAGACAGTCTTTTTGATACTTGGCAAAATGATCTATTGCGAGTACGAGCAGGGGTAGTACAGACACCGCAGCTACCGGTACAATAATAGAAAATGCTGTATTTTGAGTTTCTTCTGGAATTGAATGAATTCAATAGAGTTATTTGCCATCTAAAAAGATTTGTCTAAAATGGAGCAAGGAATCATACAGAGCAACCATGGAAAGTGATCAAAGAGATGGGATTATTTATCTCAAGAAGAAGAGTAATGTTAGGCAGAACAGGACTACCKGTATGATATTCATTTTGTTTGATACTTGAGTCGATGTCTACTACTCAAGATACTTGTTGGTTTATTTCGTCACTATCTTGTCATTGAAAGGAGGAAAAACTGATGGCAAGGTGACAGCCCTGAGAATGGGTGTCAAACTTGTGATGACGAGAAATGTGTGGTGTGAGAACATGATGTTCCAGGGAAAAGGGCCCTTAGAGTTGTGTTTGGGCCACGCAAATGTTTAGTTTTATGTTTCCAGGAGGAAAACCATCACACCACAATAATGGTTAGTGTGACATAGAAGTAGTACTTCACTCTCCTCATTCACATAATAAATTTTCTTGACCTTTAAGAAGCACATAGTAGTAACAAGAATGCTGAAACACCATTCTTCCATAAGAAAAAATGATATCTTCTTGCCATTTTCTAGGTTTCTCCTCAGACTCTCGACTTCCAATAAGGGACTGTCCCAGTTGAGAAGTCTTATTCTATCCTTCACTGTGTTTCACCTCTATGATTAGCCCATAAAACCCCCAACAGATACGACTAAAATACTGCTAGTTTCATCAATCATGATAGCACAGATAATCACCATAAATTTATTTCCATGGCTTCTTATTAGTTTATGAATATCAAAAATGTGCAATGAATGCCCCGTGAATAATCATAGTAATAGACGTTTTCTTTGAAAAACCAAAACTATGCTTCACGGTAGTAGAGACTGCAAGAACACACAGACATTGACAAAAGAGTGTCATACACTCCATACTTTCTTCACATCGTACATTATCACCATAGTCAATTGAAACAATACTTGGGTGTATCACAATAACAAGCAACTCTACATCATGACGCATCGGCAGCGACCTTCCTCCGTTGGCAGTGTAGGGCTTGAAGCCTGGAGGAATTCCGATTCGGATGGGAAGACGGTTCCTGGAAACAAAAGAAGAAATAAAATTTTAAGTCGTTGTTAGATTTCGGAACCAGATTTTAGACGCAGAGCACACGACGAGATCCATGCGACGAATTGTCGATCTATATACGTACGGGTGTGTTGGCGGAGGACCTTGAGGATCTGGTGGAACGAGGGGCGGCACGAGGGATTTTCGTCCCAGCAATTCTGGAGCAATCCCTGGAGCTTGATGTCCCAGCTTCTGGGTATTGTGGGACGGTCGCCCTGCTCCGCTGCTTTTGTAGCCGCCACCAATCCGTTTTCGGTTGGCCACGGAGGTTTCCCGTCCAGGAGGTAGAACAGAATCATTCCGTAGGAGTAGACGTCTACGGTTTCGTTGTAGCTCATGTGGCGGAAGATCTCCGGAGCCATGAAACGGTAGCTTCCCGTCTCGCCTGTCATCATGAAGGTGTCCTTTTCGTTGCGTTTCCGATCCGGGCGCACTTTTGATAGCCCAAAATCGGCAACCTTCAATACGCCCGAGTTATCGATTAGCAGGTTGGCCGGTTTCAGATCGCGGTGGATGATGACCGGTTTGCAGGTGTGCAGGTAATGCATTCCCTGGGCCAGCTGGGTCGCATAGGCAATTTTGTCCTTCATTTTCATTTTTGTGCCATTGATGATGTGTGCTTTGAAAATGTCCAACAGGCTGCATCTCATGAGTTCGCTGATCATGACCTCGAGGTCCTGGGTTGTCGAGTATGCCAGCATCAGCACGATGTTCGGGTGGCGCAGAGATTTGAGAATCGATATCTCCGTTCTAAAATCCGACAACGCCTTGAGCTTGTCGGCCTCCGGTATTTGAACAGCGTCGATTTCGTCAATGACATCGGCCGCATCGACGCCGTCCTGCAGTTGCTGCAGTGCTTGTTTTATGGCCCAATCTTTCTGCACCTTTGCTGTTCGAATGCATTTCGCTGCAAGCATGGATATATCCATGCGGATTGGGATATGTTTTAAGGCACGGCATTGGTGAGAAGTGACACCCGTCTATCATGTGTCAAACTATTTTTCCATCTGTTACTTACCGGCAACCATGATATCCCTCCATCTATTGTGCAATCACATCAATAAACAATAGAATTGAAAAAATAGTGAGCGGAGTGTAGCGTTTTGGTGTTTCGATTGGGCTGTGCCAGATTTTGTGTTCGAAACACAACACAAGACGAGACAATCGAACATACCGACACCTATAGATTTCTCCGAAGGATCCCTTTCCGATCTTGTCCACCATTTCGAGCTCGTCGAACTTGACCTCCAGGTTGGCGGTCTCCCTCCTTCTGGTCGTGGAATCGTCGACGGTGTTTTCTTTTTTCAATCCTTTCAGGGCACCGTATTCTCTCAGGACCTTGGCGCTCTCCTCGCTCTTGCTGCGGAGGGCATCGTCGAGGGGTCGGTTTCCCCATCGGTCCTCCGTGTTGACATTTGCCTTGTGCCGGCACAGGAGCCGGACGATGTCGGCGTGTCCCTCCCCGGCAGCCAGGTGCAGGGCGGTCCGCTTGTCGTAGTCTCCCTCGTTGACGTCAACGTCTGCCGAGGTAAGCAGGACCTCTACCTCGTCCAGGTCCCCGCAGGCGGCGGCCTTGATGAAGTTGGCCGACTTGCTGGCGCTCCCGGTGGTCGCGCCCAGGGTCCGGAGGTAGAGGACTACCTCCTTGTGGCGGTGTCTCGAAGCGTCGTCCAGCGGGCTCCCGCCCCACCGGTCGCTCCGGTTGATCCGGGCTCCCTTCCGGACCAGATACTTGACGATGTCGAGGTGGCCCTCGCTCGCGGCGACGTGGATGGCGGTCCTCCGGTCGTAGTCACGAAAGTTGACCAGCCGGGGACGCTGCTCCAGGATTCCCTCCATCACCTCCCTCCTGGACAGGGCGGCGGCCTGCAAGAGCTTGCAGCCCTCCGCGAACTCGTTGGCCGGCATGTCCAGGCCCTGGCGAAAGGCCAGGCCGGCGGACCTTCCCGGCGAGTCCCCAGCGCTCGCGCCAAGGTCGGTGGAACACCGAGAGGAGTCCATCGCCGTGGTGTGGTTGGTGATGTCCTCCGATTCCGACCCGGAATCCTCTTCCTCGGCCACGATGATCGTGGGTCGCCTCATCTTGAGGGGAACCCCCGGGGCAGAAACAATGTCGTACGAGAAGGTGTCGCGCTTGACAAAGGAGTTCATCGGTCGGCACACACACTGCAACAACCAATAGCTCTATTCCTGTAAAGCTTTGGTGTGGTGATTCCGGTGCGGTCGTTTGCTGGGCAGTGTTGTTGTACAGTAGAAGTACTTCGCTCGAGCAGGAACCGCAAGTGCAGGAACAGCAGGTGCAGGAACCCTCTCTCCGTGCAGGGGCCCCGTGGCAGAGATTCGGTATAGAGCAACAGGCAATAGGGCCCTTCTTCTTAATTGATTGTTCTTTCCAGGGGACGTTCGACTCCGCTGGTGCTTCGTTTTCTTCACTTTTTGACCTGCGGGCGTACCACGACACCGTACGATAGGTTCGGTCGAATGGTGGGGAGTCGTTCCACAGAATTTTGAATCTCTTGAACTTAACATAATTTTTCAAGAATGCTGGGGATTGTTGATGTGTTCCATTTTTACGTACCGGCCGGTACGGTTCATTACCTACGGTACTGTTGTTAAGTAAAAAGTAAAGAGCAATAATTACATCATACCTTGCGTGCAGTGCACATGACCACGTACTGGTATAAAGTATGGCAGTTGTGCTTGCTATTGCAACTGGTGGGCAATAATCAAAAGTGCAAGGCCCAACGCAGTGCTAGTGCGAGATTCACCGTAGACAAGTACCTAACCAATCAACGACGATGATTCCTTAAGAGCTCGGTGACGGATTGTGAGCTTCGAACAGTTTTTGAACGAGTCCAGTCCATTATGGGAGTGTGTTTAAAGTACGAACAGTGTCGCACGTGCTGTACTCCAGTAGTAAAGTAATGTACGGTACTGTAAAATACGGTATTTCGTTGACTCGGCGATCTAGCCGTCACGCTACGGATGGGAACCTCTGTGAGGCCCAGCCACTAGCCATGCTCTTGTGTTACAGAACCTACCATACGTACGTACTTTGCGGTAGCATACCTAATACCTACCGTCTATGTACGTACGTACCTTACCGTCTACCGTGCACGACAGAAAAAGAACGCCGCGACCAAAAAAGATTCTTGCCAAGGACCTCCCACTCCCACCCACAAAAAGAGGGAGGTTGTCACATTTAGGACGGTGACGGAACAGAAGGCCACTCCACTTCCATGACAATCCGTAGCTCTTGCGTGCATAGAGTGCATAAAAACCACCAAAGAGATAATACAGAGGAGACAGAGAGAGCCACCACCAGGTTTGAGGAAAGACGAATCGAAACCAGAAAAGGATCCAACAACAATTTGCGTCCTTTTGTTCCGTCGCCCCATTCGGACCGTATCGTCATGGCCATCGCCCGAAGGTATGATCCGACTCGAATCCACAGCATACCATAGCACGGCACAGCATAGCATACCGTAGCATACCATATACACCGAGATGGGAAGAGAGCTCCGGTTTGTCATCGGGCACACCCTCGAGACGATCCCTCCGGAAGACCGGGCTACCCGCACGGTCCAGCGGCCGGACGGCTCCCTGGATTCTTCCCCGATGGGGCTGGACTGGACCGTGTACCTGGACGTGTTGGGTCAAAACCCGAGGGACGTCCTCGCCCGCGTCAAGGCCGATTTCGGGAGGTCCTTTCTCCGACGGCGCCGGTACGAGTGGAACCGACCCCGGAGGGTCTTTCCGAAGGGCAAGAACGGCGACGGCAGCCACCATTGCGACAGCCACGAAACCAGCGACGAACGCAACGAAAACGAAAACGGAACCAACGGCGAGGTGTGGCGGTGCTTCGAGTCGAGACAGAGGTGCGCGGGGACCCCCACGGTGACCTTTTCGATCCTGGGGCTGGGCGGCACCGAGCTCGACGTGGACTACCACCCGTCGGGGGGGGCCCTGGAGGGCATCTTCTGCGAGCCCGAGGTCCCCCTGAGATCCGGCCCCACCCGGAGGCACGCCCTCTTGAGGCCCCTCCGGCTCCCGGCCGACCGGGCCTTTTCCGTGGCCCGGCGTCCCTGCAACCCTTGTGGCGACGGGGACGTGGACACGGACAAGGACACGGACACGGACATCGATGGAGCCCGCGCTCCCGCTCGCTGGTGGGAGGGCGAGGCCGGTCTCGAGGAGATCAAGCGGTCCGTCCCGGAGCGCGAGGGACCGTTCACTTCCGGTTGGGAGGAAGACACAGACACCGTGGTGTCCATCCGGCTGTTCGGGCCGCATCCGGACCGGAGGGACCTGGAAAACACGGCCAAGCTGTGCCAGAACTTTGTCAAGCACGAGGGGGCCATCGACCGGATCGCGGAGCTCTGCCGGGGGGAGGGTGCCGGGCCCGAGCCTTGGCGGGCGGTCTCCAACCTCGCAAGCGTGCAAGGGGGGTCCAACCGGGAGAGGCACGAGGCACTGGACGCCGCCGCGGGAAGCTGGGAGGCCCTGGTGCGGGCCGCCAACCCGGGCGGCGAGGCCGTCCGCTACAAGCCGAAGCTGACCACCGAGTCGGAGACGGGAAACCACCTGGCGGAATTCGCCTTTTCCGGCGTGCCCGCCGGCGGCGATCCCGACCGGACCCTCGCGCTGGTGCGGTTCTGCGTCCTCTTTGTCCACAACACCTTTCGCCACCGGAAACCGAGGCCCCTCCGGGCCGGCAGCTCGGTCGACCGGCAAATGGAATGCCTCTTTGCGAACGTCGTTCGGGACCGCTTCGTCGAGGAGGAGCTCACCGACAGCGGCGACGACTTCTCGTGCGAGCTCGGCAGCCTTGTCGAGGAGGAGCTCACCGACAGCGGCGACGACTTCTCGTGCGAAATCGGCAGCCTTGGTTCGTGTCTCGTCACCCTGGGTTCCAGCGCAACGGATGTGTTCGAAACGGACGACCCCGGCGATTCCAGCGGCACGGAACACACGACCGCGAACAGCGAAAAGAGGGCCCTCCCCGAGCTCCCGGTGTCGGGCAAGCGGCCACGGCTGGTCTCCCCGTCCCTGTCTTGCCCGATCGGCCTGTCTCCAAAACCGTCACTCTGCCCCCTCCTCTTGCCCGGCTTGGCTGTCGCGGTGTTGTCGGACCTCTCGGCCGGCAACAAGGCCCTAACGGCGGCGAAGCTGGCCACGATGGGAGTGAGGCTGGGCACCGGAAAGAGCAACAACAAGGCGACAAGGCTGGACAAGCTGCAAAAGTATTTCGCCGCCAGGGAACACGAGCTGCAACACCTGGTCGACGGCCACGAACACGACACCTTTGGGATCGAGATCGCCTCCCAAAAAGACGGGGCCTCGGACAAGAACACCATCCGCCTCCTTCGGAAGGGCGGGCGAACGCTGGAAACCCCCCGGAGAAGCGTCTGCGATCCCAAGACATTGAAGGGCGGCGAGGCCACGCTGGGCTCGCTGACCGAGGAAGATGCGCGGTCCCTCTGCGCCGAGCTTCTCGGCGGAGACCCACACGGCCCGGAAGAGGGGGGAGAAGGACCGCCCCGCACCGGCAGCTGGATCGAACGCCTCGACGCCTGCATCGAGGCCATCCGGGGGCGGGTGGAAGGAGCGGGAGCCGCCCGTGATCCACCGGACCCGCAAGAACCACCGCAACCCCCACGCTTTGCGCTGGTCCACGATTTCTTCTAGCGACGACCGCCTCGGCGCCGAGGTGCCCACGCAGAGCAGCCCGGCAGACGGCCCGGCCATGACGAGGCCGCACCCCCCTGCACGGAACGCCCTGCGGCCTGGCGACAACCAGTTCTAGACACACAGATCGATTGGTCTCGTGCGGCGCCGGTCTCTATCGAAAACTATTGTAAAACATACCGCATGCGCCAGTCGCGCTACTCGCACTGCTCGCTTCTATTCTATTCTTGTAGCTTACTCTAGAATGTCTTCCTGTCGTACGGGAGGCTTCCTCTCGTGCGCCAGGCGGAGAATGCTCGCCACGCAGAGGGCCGCGCAGAAGAACCAGCCCACGATGGACCGCCGGCCGTGGATCTCCCCGTAGTAGCAAATCCCCCACAGGCCGGCCACGAGGATCTTGGCCTGGACCAGGCTGTTCCCGACGGCCTGCCCGAGGCTCGAGGTCGCCACGAGGCTCCCCAGCATCCCGGCACCGGCCAGGACCCCGGCGCAGGCGAGACGGGCCCCCGCGTCCCCGGCGTGGCACCGCGGCATCGGCGAGGCCCCGGGGACCCCGATCGCCGCGGCCGCCACCCAGGCCCCCCACAGCAGGGCGTTCGCCAGGAGGGCCCCGAGCGCGTGGCTGAGGTAGCACGAGAGATCGGAGGCCCCCCCGCGGCGGGCGTAGTGCAGGGGGACCAGGGCGGAGCCGGCGCAGAGGCCGTTCGCCGCGGCGCAGGTCGCCCCGGCCCAGAACCCCGTGGGAGACCACCGGCCGAGCGCCTTTGGGAGCCCGGTATTCTTTTCCGTCGCCGCGTCGTCGTCGTCGATGCCGTCGTCATTGGAGGGGACTGTTGCCGCCGGCGCCACGGCTCCTCCTCGCTTCGTTCTCGATGTCAGGCCGTGTTCTGCTGCCCTCTGTCCCCCTTTCTTCTTCGTCGCCGCCGTGGCCGCGACGGACCCGACAAACCCCGCGGGATCGTCCTCCTTTGGAAATCCATCACCGTAGTCGCTGCCGAAGTCCTCGTCGTAGTTGTAGTCGTCGTCGCCACCGCTGGCAACACCCGTTGCGACCGGATCCGGCGGGGACGAAGCCCTTGCCATCCCGATCAGACCGACCCCCAGGAAGAAAAAGGCCCCGACGGTCCCGGGCAGGGAACGGACCGGTTCCCGGAAGACTAGGATCCCCCACACAAAGTTCATCACCACCGTGATGCCCGCCCAGATCCCGACCGAAACGGCCATCCCGGCATTCCGGATGGCGAGGATCCCGAGCGTCCCCCCGCAGACCGACAGGAGCCCCGAGGCCAGCCCGTACGGCGTCCACGAGGGCCGCTCTTCCCGGAGGCAAAGAACCAGGGAGGCCACGAACATTACCGCGGTCTTGTAGGTCTGCACGACGAGCGGGTGGACCTTCGTGGACGAGGCAGACTTGACGGGGACCCCATACGACCCGTAGCAAACCGCACCAAGCAATGCGGCAAGGTAGCCGCAAGCGTCATCGCAACCGGCGTGTTCTAGCATCTTTCCACGGATAGGGACGCGATTGTTGCTTTGTCATCTCTATGAATCACGGTAGTGGGCGGTATTTCTCCTTGGTCATTCGAGATTGTGTTGTTGTGACATGCTGCTCGTCTTTCACATCCGTCGGAACGGTTTTTCGGTGACGACTGATGGAGAACGTATCACAAGTACGAGTACGTACCGTACTTTATGTATGGTAGAACACCTACAGTATGTCCCGTAAATACTCGTACACGTACTATGGCACAGTACGTATGGTACTTCGTAAGTTCTTAAGTTTTGGAACGATGTTTTTTTTTATGATGCGTTGAAGAGGAAATCATTTACGGTAAACAAATACATGCTTCCTGACCACTTCTTGTAATCATTTCGTTCCGGTTTGGTAAAGTTAGTAGAAGTAATTACTGAGATAGTAATTTAATATTAATCGTCCTCTATTGGCTGTTGCCAACTTTTCATGAACAATTTACATATTCATAATCCAAATATGAGTACTGGACAATCAGTTCTTATTCATTCTTCCTCTAGAATCTCGCTGACCACCATACCAATAAGTTCTGTCGTTTCGATCGACTTCAACTTCGTATCCGATAATCCTTCAAGTCGTTCGAGGATCCGGATACACTTTTCTTCGTTGTCGAATCCAAGTTCCCGGAGCTTTTCGAGCTCGCCAGCCCACCGGGTGGCGTGCCGCGGCCTCGAGACGCTCGAATGGACGGTTCCGAGGTCGGTGGGAACAGAACTCGGAACCGAGAACGAAGAACCTGATGCCATCATGCTAGACGCGTTTTCCTCCGAAGTCTGAATGTCGCTGTTAAAGAGTGCAGATCCGAGCATCTGAGTGGCTTGGCCAATTCTTTGAGATTCCGTGGTTCCGTTTGTTCCGACAGACTTCACAACACTCCAATCGTCCTCGTCGGCCTTCTCCTCGGTCGTCTCATCGCCAGGGTTCAGAATAAGTTCTCCCCTTTCGGTCTCGTCGTTCGTGCATTTGCTGGATGTGGCACTTTCGTCGCCGTCAAAAACCGAACCTTCGTCATCGTCACACAGCATCTCACTGATTTCTCCGGCCACCATGTCTAGGGTTTTGCCCACCATTTCTGCAACATCGCCAATGCCCACTGCATCGGAAGCAAATGATTCGTCCCTGAGACTTCGCTTCGAAAAGGGGGACTCGCTGTGTTTGTTCTTAGAGGTTTTGGCAACAGGAGAAGGGGAAGCATCGTTTCCTCTGGTCTCCGCGAGAAGTTTCTCCGAATCAACGGAAGTCGCGTCCATCGCCCGTTCCATAGTCTTGACAATATTGGCCTTCTCTACCTCGCTAGAGTTATCCAAGGTTGATTCGTCGCAAGGGGGGGTTTCTTTCCCAGTCGTGTCTTGTTCAATGATTTCCACAGAACGAGGGATATCACCCTTCGCGAAACTGTTCTCTTCGTTGGAACTTTGACATTTCGCGGCACTCTCCTCCTTTCCGCGTTCGCATTCTTCTTTTTTGGTAGTCTTTTCAACGTTCTCGCCTTCGACTTTGTTTTCAACATCACAAGCAGTATCTACGCAATCGGAGGTTTTGGACTCGACAGTGTCCAAAAAAAGTGGAATATCACCCTTGGCATTACTGCTCTCATTCTTGGAGCCTTGGTATTTGCAAATACTTTCATCCTCGGTGTCTTTAGATGGTTTTCGCGAGACAATATTGGCAGTGCAAGCGGTATGTTCGTCTTTGGAAATGGTAGTTTTAAGTTCTACCATCTCGACAGAAGGAGAAATTTCACCTTTGACTAAACTGCTACCTTTTCTGGATTGATCTCCGAGAGCACATTCCTCGTTGGAAAACTCAGCAGTTTCCTTTTCGAGCTCGCTAGATTCTTCGCTCTTCCCACTGAAAGAGTTCTGTACAACATCATCGAGGCTTCGTCGAATAGCTTCTTTCAATAGAGTGTCGAAATCATCGAACCCGGCAGCAGCATCAACAGGTGATTCCGAGTTGGTTTCGTCTCGGATGACACCAGTATCACAATCGTTAGACACAGGAAGCGAGGTAGGGCTCCTTTCGGACCCAGGATTGGTACACTCGTGAGCTCCGCACCGATCTTTTCCACGAGATCGAGAATGACGTCGTCGGTTTCGCCTCTTCATCGCTGTGACGTTCATTTCATAGCGGTGGTGCCAACGGGCCTGGAAAGCGACGTCACGACGTAGTTCCATGGGTTTGAATTTGATCTCGCTGCCCTTGTAGTTATGATAACAGTGCTGGCACAAATCGTAATCCGGAAGGTTTGTCGCACGGTAGCGATTCCCAACAATGGGGGTGGTAAGACAACCATCACAGGTGTGCCTCCCATGAATGAAGGGCTTCTCAGCTCCTGCTTTTGGGCTTGGCTCCTTAGTGGTACCCGGGGATCCACACCGACCCACGTTTTTGGAATGCGGAGAGGCGCGCTTAGAACTAGCTCCTTCCTTACTGGCATTGGTTTTAGGGGTAGAAATCGCACTATCACGAGAAGGTGGTGCTTTTGATCCCCTTGCTCCTTTCGAAACCTTGGTTCCCTTGTTGTCCTCCCGCACCTTCTTTCGACTAGACTTGGGAGGTGGCTTCCTGTCAAAAGCACTGCACGAGGTTGGAGGCGGCTTTCTTGTGGAGGAACTAAATGAAGGGACAGGTGGTCTCTTTGTGGAAGAACTGGGTGGAGTTCCGTTCGTCTCATCAACAAATGGTTCTGCTTCCTTAGGCGCACTAGACGAAGGAGTTTGTGTCTTCTTGTTGGACCTGTGGCTTGACCCGGGTTGAAAGTGAGTCGCCATTTCTGGGAGTTCGTGGGCAGCTTTGGCAAGAATTCCGGAGAAGGTCTCGAGAATCATCCTCACGGGAGGAGGCGGGAGATGCTTGACGTCCGACCCACCACGATCGGGGGAAGAAGGGGAAGCGCCATCGCTTACATTCGCAGACGAAGCAGAAGTCGGTGATCCATGACAAGACTTTTTGGGTTTCACACAGGTTGTAATTCTCATGAATTTCTGTCCCGCAAACAATTCAATGGCATCCATGAGTTCTTCCGTTGATCCAACCGTGATCAGGTCCTTTTCATCGTCGTAGTACGTGAGAGACACCAAATATTTCTTCGTATCCCTTGTTGATGAATCTTCTTCCGGAAATGTAAAAACAAGGACTAATCCAACCAATTCTTCGTACGATACGCTTGTGCCATACTTATCCGCGATGCGGGGCAAACACACCCTTCGAATTCGAGTTTCTCCTGTGCGATGTTCAAGGTGTCAAGTACAGAGTAAGGCGACAACAAGTGTTGGGGATCATAAACACCAGGGAAAGGGTTTCATAAAAGCCGGAACAGCACGAACCAAAAAAGCTGTTAAGCCAACCGGAGACAGTTCACCATGGTTGTAGTTGTAGTTCATCTCTAGGGTCGGGAATTACGTTACTTACCATCAGAAGTTTTGATGTAGAGCTTGAGAACAAATTCCTTGTTCTGTTCTAGGAAAGACGCCATGGTACGAGTACTGTAGATAGTGAAAGGCTATGTCTCCCTTGCATTTGCTTTCTATCTACTCAGTTCGGAGCCTGTCCCTGGAAAAGTAAGACAAGATAGAGATATATTGGTATGCTTTGTTTTTCTGCGAAGCTCTTCGATGAAGCGTACGACTTAAATGAAACAGTTTCGTCTCAATCAGTGCGAAGATCAAGCGCGTCATGCTGTTGTAACGAAGAGTTTTGGTTGGTTTTTCGTATTTTTCGTATTACGTACCTTACTGTACTGTACTGTAATTAATGCATGATTCTTGCGTGATCAAAATCGACTCATTCGTAAAGTACCGTAGTTCTACCCTATGTTCTCTACCGCACCATGCGAGAGAACTCGTACCCTGTAACGATGAGAAAATAAAATAGTGTACAGTAAGGGGCAATTCCGTTCGTACGGTAGTTTAACTAAAAAAAGCTTCCGGATGTCACATTTCCAACCGATACTCCTTAGCATGTAGAGATAAAATTCAATTTTAACCACACGGAGCAGCTATGTCAAGATTTTAAAACTGCAATTGCTTGGGGTTCCACGAATCAAATTTCATTGAGAGAGACTAAATAGACCCCAGAGCGGTTTCCACCCACGATTTTTCTACTGGAGAGCGAAATTCTGGCTTGTTTTCGATGGTCAACAAAAACCCTTTACACAGCAGTTCGCAGTGCTCACTACTATAACATCCCCACTAGTAAGTAGTAATAGAGGTGCAAGAGGTTTTTCAGTAGTAAGCACTAATAGTAATTCTCGAAGTATTAAGCAATGAATTTACCTCTCCAGTAGTAAGGACCATTAATAGAAATATTTAGGGACTCGGTAGTAGTTTTGTGTGGTGTGGAGGGGGGGAGAGGGGAAATGGAGATGGGAGAATGAAAAAAAAATTGAATTATTGTCAAACAAAACATCATAGGGGTTTATTTAGTGCTTCTGAGTAAATCCTGGACCCACTGGAAACCAGGCACGCATCCCTTTTGAATTCATCCCCTAACATTACTACTACTAGTACTACTAGTAGTAGTACTAGCACCACCACTACTATTATTGCTACTACCATGGTGGGGGTATTGAGACATCATGCGACAAAAACTGCAACAGTAGAAAATCATGAACAAGTCTACATCCTACTGACCAGCACAGTATGATCCGTCATGAAATCAATCCCAACTGATGCACATCAGTTGAGAAGAAATATTGACAGAATTTTTGACAAGGAAAACTCCATGAAAAAATCAAAAGTCTTTAAGGTAATTCCTGGTGACAATCAACAATCACCACAGTGGGTCAGCATCTTGTCAGCTATTAGACTTGCTCCTCCTCTTGCAAGCAAAAAAACAGTCACAGTTAGCAAATACAGCATACAACTTTATGTTTTTTCCGATGTAAGGGGGGACTAAAAAATACTACAACACCCAACAACACTGACAACGCCAACAAGAATGCCACCGACAAGAATGCCACTGCCAACAACAACAACAACAACAACAACGACAAGAACGCAGCACACCACCACCAGCCACCATCAAAGCAAAGGAACCTGTCGAAGCAAAAGAACATGTCCAAGCAAAGGAACACATCCAGTTCAAGTACATCCAAGCAACCCATCCAGGCAAGTAAGCAATGTATCCAAGCTAGAAAGTGTTGAAGCAAAGGAAGTTGGATTCCTATGACCCACACCTTGAAGAACAGTCCACTTAATACTCTTGTTTGGAAGAAAATATGAAATTGCTTTCTTTGTGTACTCTGTAGAATTAGGCCTAGCATGAACACAATTGTCATCAGGAGTTGGATCCTCTTTTTTATAAGCCTGCAATGCAAGGAATCTATAAATATGATCAGGAGTGATGTTTGAAAGCTTATCATCAGTAAACACATGGTCCCTGGGAAATCTTGTATCATCAGTGGTGGGGATATCTCTTCTGTCATCTTTTCTTCTATGTACAAAATCCATGAAGTTAAGGAACATTCTGTGGTAAGATTTCCACTGCTCTGGAATGTTAACATCTGATGGTGGCTTAGGAGCTTGCCMAGGACGTGGCCTTGTTGTTGTTGCTTGGCTACTGACACTCTCGTTGCTTCCGTCATTAGAGGCATCATGAACATTTTCTTCACCACCATAATCATGTTGCTGTTCTTCTTCTTCTTCACCTTCTCCAGTATCCTTGTCAGCAAGAGCTGCAGCATTTTTAGTAGCACTGCTAGTGCGGATCCGCATCCTTCACATCCTTGTCCTCCATAATCTCCTCCAGTGCATCCTCCTCCAGCAGCCTGTCCTTCAGCTTGTTGTTGCTGCTCCTCCTACTCGCGATCAGCTTCTTCAAGTGCTTCAAGTGACATTCCTCCTCCGCATCCTCAACATCCTCTGTGTCTGTGTCCTAGTGCACATCTTGATGCTTCAGTCTCCTCCTCTTTGTGACAAGCAGCTTCTTGTTGTTCTTATTCCTCACATAGTACTTCAAGTGCAATTCTAAATAAGTTGGGGGGGGGGCTTGACTGTGTCCTCCTCTGCATCCATGTTGTCCTCAGCGATGTCCTCTGCATAGTACTCCTACAGCTCTGTGTCCACATCTGCAAGCTTGTTCATCTTGTGCTGCTGTTGTATGTTATATGTTAGTGTAAGCTGTTAGCGTTGGCTGTTAGCTGATAGTGTTAGCTGCTTGCTGCTTGCTAGGTGCTTTTGTGCTTGCATGCTTATTAATGAGTCAAAGTTTTCTTTTGCACCTCCATCTGTTGTATTATTGCACAGTGTTTTCAACTGTTGAGAATGCAACTCACAAGCTACTGACTATGACTAATAATTAAAGCCTTAATATTGGATCACTCCTCTATTTATTTTTCACAAAAATAAAACAATACAGTTAAAAAAACAGTAGTATACTTACATGTAAGAAGAGGATATTCACTAGGGGGGTAGGCCTATGTGGTACTGTTTTTTTGTTGCATGGAGGCAATAATAAGAAGGCAATTTTAGTTGCATTTTGCAAATACCATAGTAGTAGTACTAGTAGTACACTGCTGGGGTGGTCAAACAAGAACAACAAGAAGAACTCTTGTTTGTAGTGGTGGTGGTAGTACTACTACTAGAAGTAGTACTAGTACTAGAAACTTCAAAGTTATAGATTGGACTTCTTCTTCTTCTTCTTGTTGTTCTATTATTGGAGGAGGAGACAGCAGTAATACAAAAAGAAGGAGTACTACTACTGCTCCTTGCAGCTGGAAATATCTCTCATCTTTGTTGTTCTCCAGCACTAGTAGTACTAAACTACAACTACTCCTACTACTAGTAGTCAGTCAATTTTTGACAGTTATGCTGCTATGTTTGTCCAAACCTACCAATAATACTTCGTAGCTAGTAGTAGTAGTAGTATTGGCTGTCACTTTATGAAGAAAAATCCCACTACAATAGTTACTTTTAGTTCTACTAGTATCATTGATGATAATGCTTCTACTAGTAGCTTAAGTGAATAGGATGGAACTCCAACAAGAAACGACCAGTGGAGCACGCTGCTATGAGGAGGTAAGGCAATGGTCGCTACTACGATTAGTAAGACGAAGAAATGGTGCAAAGATTGCTGAGTTTGTCCAACATACATCGTTCAAATTTGTATCAAGGAGATTCGTTCTACAAGTAGTCGTCTAATACGCCAGCTTATTGCTGCCGTCACGGTTAAGAATGTAATCATGCAAGGTTAAAGTGATCGGTTTAGATCTATCAACCAGCTTCGTTATCAAAGATAGCTGGGATTCAAGAATAAAAGTTTGCTGTATGATAGTACTTACAGATTCATTGTTTTCTTTTCATCCTCTTTCTTCGGAGATGCCGTGTGCGTCTACGGCAGTACATTCCCTTAATACTTTGGATCGGGGGCGCTCCAGCCTTCCTTTCGCAAGGACTCGACGATGTAGGCTAGCCGTTTTTGGTTCACTCCCAAATCAGAGTCCCCAATTCGGGATGACGATTTTACATCAACAGCGCCATCTGCACCGATTTCAAGCTTCAAATCGTCAACAAATGGTTTTCCGCCGTTGAAAAACTTCGCGAAATTCCCAATACCAGACTTGTACTCGACACTAGCAACCTTGCCGGGAGCAAATGAATCATCCACGATAGTCCACCCTCCCAAATCTACCTTGTTTTGGCCATCCTGTGGATAGCTTTCAATTACCTTTTTCAAAGTGCTCGCAGCTGCGCTTGAGTCGGTGCCTGGGACATTCAAAACAGACAAGAAAGTTTAGAATACAGATTGTCAGACGCAAAAACAAAGAACAGGTTCCGCCAACCAGAAAAAACGTTATAGACAGCGTTTTTTGGAGTATGATAACGTCACTGATGAATTTTACTGCGATCGTACCAGCAGGGGGAGTCCACTTTGTCGTCAAACAATTGTTCGATCCCTTCGGGCATCCATCCAAAGCATTTGCCGGGCTAGCAGCTACAAGGAAGGCAGCGGCTCCAACTTTCTGGAACATCTCACGTCGGCCGACCTCATTTTGTGGTTTGATGCTGTATGCAGCAGCCGAGGAAAGGGTGGAAGCAAATAGAAGGGTTCGTGCGCAGAGCTTCATCTTGTATAACTTGGGTTATCGATATGCAACTCGTGGAGTTCGCTTTGTAGTGCCGAGAGATAAAATCGTACGACAGGTCGACAGAGACTGTTCACTAGTGCTTTATACGAGTACAAACAGGATAATATCCATAAAGAAACCGATAAGTTCGAGTATTAGTACGAACGCGTACTACGTACCGTAGTTAGAAAAGAGTACGAATACAAAATGCGCTAGTACACCTACAACGGCATGCATTTCCTACCTTGCAACCTGAGTACTGTACCTTGGTTCCTGTTACGTACTCCTATGTGCTGGTACAAGTACCGTACGGTAGGGTATGAGCCGATCATCAACTCCGCGACGTCAACAACGTCAGTGAAGGATCTCAAAAAATATGATACGATTACGATTGGATTGTTTTGACCAGTCGTGGATATTTGGCGACCGTTGTCAGTTATTTCGGTGAATAGCCTAACGTTACGACTGCCAGTACGTAGTGTCAGTACTCGTACAACTACGGAAAGACTTCGTGCGGTACCGTACGTACTCCTACGTACCCTACTCATACTTTTCTGTAGTTCTTGTCAAGTTTCCTGCACGAACAGACCCATGATTTGATGAAAATACTTCGTCGGCAGAATTGTCATACATTGACCCCCGGAGGTCTATTTCTGCCAACCGCAGCGAAAGATACTACGACAATTCATTTTTGAGACGAACATGGAAGTTCTCGTTCATTTTTCAAGTGAAGACGATAACAATGGCCAAGAATAAGGTTCTTGAACGATTTCTAAGAACGGGGTCTTTTCGCAGGCTTCCCCGTACAGTTGAAGACACTCTTCAAGTGAAGACATCAGTGCGCCGACCCTATCAGAAGCATTCTTCTAGCAAGCGCCAACCAACATTCCTGAAAGGCGTTGGACGAGATGGAAATTTCTATCGCCTAAGGATTCCCCCACGCAAAAGACTGTTACCCGATATTCCGAAGCTTCCGAAGGGTCAAAATACGCCACAACCACTAACCGCGCCTCCCCATCGTCCAGAGTCGGCTGCAGATATCAAAAGTTTCAAGAAGAAGTTGATTGAGTGGTTGCAAGGAAATATCCCTGTTCTGGTCTTAAACTTTGGAAGGTACGCTATGGATGCTTGCATCCATTGATATCGCTTTGATTTTGAGAATATTCCAGAGATCATATCTCTATCGAATACAATACCCAACAAGGATTTAATTTTTGTTTTTTCCTTTTCCTGTCTTGAATATTCCAGCATGTGCACATTGCTCGCCTTTACTCGATCAGACATTCTGGAGCTCCGAACTCTTTCAGTAACGGGTAATCTTTGTTTCATAACATACGCACTACGCCAAAACATAATCCTCTGGCCAAATATCTTTTGGTCGGGATTATTTGCTTCTGTCAACAGCTGGAAAATTTATCAAATCCTGAATGAACGGAATGCGTCTGTGTCAATGACTACGAAGGAAGAAAAGACTTTCGTCGATTTCTTTATGCCACATGGAGGTACGTTGTTCATTTAGTGGGAATCGCAAATCATTGATGAAAAATTTGATCTACGTAATATCGATTGCGAAAAAAAGTTTCGAAAATTCATTTGTGTATTTTCTGTCTTCTTGCCTTTTTCACTTGAATATACCTAGTGACACCGAAACAATTTGAGCGCATACAGGCGAGTGCAAGAGTATATAATTTGAAAAAAGGCGAATTTGTGATTCAGAAAGGTGAAAAACCGCACAGTGTTTATTTGATAATCGAAGGATCAACGAACGCTCTTATTCTAGGGAGAAGAGTGACAGCAGCTTCTACCACGATAGAAACCAAAGGCATTCAAATGAAAGGCGGAGATAGCGGCGCTTGGGCAGGAGAAATGGCGTTTTTAAAACAATTTTGGGAGAAAGAGCAAAAATCAATCACTCCACAAAACGAAGCAAAAGTCGGTAGTATAGATCCAAGTGAGAGTGTTGATGCAAAAGCTACTGTAAAATCCAAGCTTACGACCGGTGGGATTGCTTATGCCTATATTTATTCTATTGTTGTCACAGAGGACTGCACTGTTATGTCATGGTCTCATGAAGAAATGGAGAAACTGATGAAGAGCTCAACAGATCTGCGTTCTGCTCTCACCCGTGCCATGTCAAGCGCACTGGTTGGTAAAGTAATCAATCTGACCATTAGCAGATCACGCGATGGTAAAATGCCATGGTTAGAATGGCTGAAAGAATGGAATAGCAAAGATGGTACGAGTGTCGAGGTTCAGAATGATTTTAGTCTAGCAGAAGATCGATAGAGTTCAAGATACCTTTGAAACCGCATATCCTATTTTATACAAAACTCTGTCCAGGGCAGTTGATGCAGTGAAGTCCACAATAGTGGATAAGCCCTTGATATCTTTGTTGACAATTTTGGGATTATGGAATCATAGATTAATTAGACAGTATCAGATTTTCAATCTTGGCAAAGACATACAAGAAAAACTAATTTATCACTTTCAAACTTGCCTTGTTGTCTCTACTTTCTGATGACTACCTCCAAACAACAGCAGCAATGTTGGCATCTGCTTGTGTAAGTTGTTGTTGTTGCTACTTCTAAGATTTCATAGAAGAAGATATTAAGAAGGACACTAAGGAAAGCATCAGAGAGACAAGAAGACACATATGGCTGGGGTCCTCCATTTCAATGACTATTTTTTCATTACACCTTCTAATCTGGTGATGATTTGAGGTCCTCTTAACTGCTGTGGTGGTGTCAGCTGGATGTGAAGACATTTGTGCACTCTTTCAACCACCAGTTTTTGATTAATACATGGTCAATGTTTGTCTTACACTAGTATAGAACCCAATGTCAATACAAATGACACACTCTGTCACTCTATGCTATTCCTACGTATCCCCTTGGTGCTACATTGCTGTATTGAGAAGTTACTTTATTAGTACTAATAATCAAATAAAATGTATTTTTTTGGGTTTCAGCAGTACTTACTAATTTTGTGATACAAGTGAACAAAAGAGCAAAGTACTACTACAACTGGTTTGTGTTGTTATTCTTTGATGCACTGTATTATTCCACCTAACATATTCCTGCAAGGGGTGATCACATTGCATTGAACACAGAGCAGCAAACCATACATTCTTATTCCCATTGGTCAGCTTTGTCTGACTGGCGTTTTATCAAACAATCCTACCAAGACCAAATTGTTTTTCATGAAAGCCAGAACCATTACTCTGGGGAGAAGAATACTTCTAGTTCTTGTGCCATGTCACATGGTGGGTGGCACCCACAAAGAGGGCAGCCAGTTGGACCAATTTGCCAACTTCATTGTTTCTTTTTGGTTCTTACCAGTAGTATGTTTATTATGATATAGGTGCTCATAAATAGTACTTAATGGTGCTGCTAATACTCTCATTGATTTGGTGTTGGGTTGAATTTTTCTACCTTTGAGAGACAAACTACTAGTCAACCTTCTCTCCTTGTTCTTCTTGGTCTGTTATTTTTGTTCTTGTGGTAGAAGGGATCTCTCCAGGGACAAAAGGATGTCTTCGTCAGATACTTTCAAGTTGATCTCTGATCTCTTTGAAGATTTCTCTCAACAAGTAGCTCTGGAATATTAAATTTTTGGTGTGATGATAGTTGCTGCCTCGTCAAAAGTTGCAGGACAGCACTATCCTCCCCAAGATCACTTCTTCAGGACTTATTCCCTGACATATCACCCTTCCAAGTCCATCATGTCAGCAATCAACCATGCCTTCCAAGTCCAAGATCTGTCATGTCAGCCAGCAACCAACCATTATGTCAATTTATTAGCTAACAGGAATGGGAAAAAGGAGGCATTTCTTGGATCTCTAGCACTTCTACTACTAGTACTAGTAGTACTACTAGTAGTAGTGATAGGCTTGTGGTATGAAAGGTATGCTCCCTGCTACTAGAACTACTATGAATTGAATCATTGTCTGGTGGGAGGGAAGTACTAAACAGTATGAATTCCACCACCATCTTATTATCCCACTTGTTCAGCCCAATAGACAGTATGAAGGAAAATTTCCATGATTTATGGCATGGATTGTTTGCTTTCTGCTGTTGTCATTGTCAAACAAAGAAGCTGATTATTTGTTGGTACTGCATGAAACAAGTGTCAAGTCAAACATTACCTCCTGTCTAGTAGTACTATTATACTAGTGTGTCACCTTCTTGATAACAATAATAATCATACAATAATAATAATACTAGAAATTAGACCCCACCAATGATAAGATGGAAGAAGAAGGATTCATGTAGTTTTTGAATACTGATACAACGGGTTTCATAACAATTGAAGCCAGCCTTACTCTTGATTGTATTCTTTGTTTAAACAGGAAAGTAAAACAGTGATAAATTTTCCCAGACAATATTCTCTGTGTTTCTCTTGATCAAAATAAGGGGAAACAAAGAGAAAGGAGAGGCAATATTATCTTAATTTCTCTTTGTGGCAAAAATGATAATACTCACCACCATGTAACAAATAGAAACAATTCTCTTTGTTTCTCCTTGTTTTGTGGGGTGAATGGGAAATTATTTTTTAGAAAAATACTAACAGTGGGCCTAGTATGTGATAGTTTGTTGGTAGCAGCACTGACAAGGGGATAAAGCTCCTGTTAACACATTGAGTCCTCAACTCTTAACTTCTTGTTACAGAAAAGGATTTACAAAATGTCCAGCATAGTATGAGTAGTAATGCTCTACTAAAGATGTACTAGCTTACAAAAATTGTGTTTTTGGGCCAAGTTATTACAGTTATTTGGCCTGGGGTGGATGTTTTTACTAGTACTAACCCAATCATATTTACATGTTCAAGAATGTTCTACTACACAGTAATACTACTAGTTCTAATTACAACAACAAAAACTACCTTCTTATTTCAAAAAATCTTTCTTTGTAGTACTAATACCTCTGTTCCTAAATAATGGTACAGTTTGCAACTCTCAGTTTGGATTCAGCTCAATATTTGGGCCATTTGACTGCTTGTTTTGTTTAATACTTTTTGAATGTGTTATGACTTATTTTTGTACCAGTAACAATAATGGAGGAATGAGCCTTCAAAAAAGCTTCTTTTTTCTTATCAATATAAAAATACCCTCAGTTG